TTTATACAAATTTAACTGTCTATACTTGTGCACACCTCATAGATGTCAGTTGAGGCTAAGTTAAATCATACGTTTATGTATTATATTATATTAAAATTGTGGATGTTGACATAGCTATTGGTTCATTTCAGTGGTTATATGTCACCAGAATATGCAATGGAAGGGCATTTTTCTGTGAAATCTGATGTTTTCAGTTTTGGTGTTCTGTTGTTGGAGATCATTACTGGAGGGAAGAACACTACACATAATCAGGATCATTCTTTAAATTTAGTTGGAAATGTAAGGCATCTCTTCATTAAGAACTCACCTTTAGTTAAAAGTATGTATCTTGTTTTGCTCTAGAAAAGTATATGTGGAAATGTTCATTTTTTTTTTCCTTATAAGGTGGAGTCAGGGCTGGCTTGTGCATACTTCGACCATTACACTGTACCCGCTACATGCATTAGAAGGGGATTCAATTGAATCTCTTTCTTTAGAAAGCTATGATAGAAACTATTGGTTGTGTCTGAACAAAGTCCCACATGAAAAATAGAAAAAAGATAACTTATAATGTCCGCAGACAAACTATCACATCATGCTAAAAGTATCTTCGAGTAATTTTAGCCCAATAGAAACACATTCTTTCGTTGAACATATATGAAATTTTGGACACCCTTAACCCTGGACACGACGTTTTTGTATTTTCCTTGAATCCCCTGATTGAAAATCCTGATTCCGGCACTAACCAGAAATGTTAACTTTGCTCTCCATTTTTTCAGGTTTGGGATTCATGGAATGATGAAAAAGCTATGGATGTTGTTGATCCCTTATTAGGGGATTGGTATGAAAGTAGTGAAGTTTTGAGATGCATCCAAATTGGACTATTATGTGTACAATCATATGCAAATGAAAGACCAATGATGTCTCAAGTTGTCTTCATGCTTTGCAATGACACAAAATTGTCTAATCCTGGACAACCTGGTTTTGTATTCAGATCAAGAAATTCTTATTCATCATCAGCTAGTATTGGAAATTCTGTAAATGATGTTTCTATTACTGCACAACATGCTCGGTAAGTGCGTATCGAATCCTCCAAAAGTAGTACAATATATTTTCTGTGGATCTGACGTGGTGCATCAACGTTTTTAAAGAGCATTGAGCCATGTAATCTTTAGGTAATTTATACTTGATCTATTTTATTAATTTAGTTTAAGATTTTTTTACATTTATCAGTACTGTATTTTAACGTGTTATAACAGGTAGCGTATCTCTCTTTTTTTTTTGGTTAATTACTAGTCCTACTTTTTATGAATAATTAGTTATTAATAATGACTTAATAATATGTGTATTCGATCCTTCAAAAATAGTACATTATATTTTTTGTGGATATGTTATGGATGCATAAAACGTTTTTGAAAAGCACTGAGCCATATTGTCATTAAGTAATTTATACTTGATCTATCTATTGATTTAGTTTAAAAAATTTTATATTACAATTTACAGTGTATTTTAATATGCTATAACAGGTAACGTATTTCTTAGTCCTATTTTTTTTATGAATAATACTTATAATATTTTATATTAATTAGTTAAAACTATTTCTAGAGTTTTTGGCTATCAACATGTTTCCTTGAATAAAAGGGCATACTTGGGTGATGAAAACTTACTAGTTAGAGTTATTCAAGTATTTGTTATGTAGGATTTAGTTATACAGAGTTTCGTTATACAGGTATTAGTTATGCATTGTTTATTTATGCAGGTATTAATTGTATAGGGTTTAGTTATGTTAAGTTTAATTACGTAGAAATCACAATACGTGAATTATTAACTATTGAATATTAAATTTGTTGTAAAATATTTATATATACATGGGTAGTTTTATCCCTTTTAAACGGAGAGTTTAGCCCATGAAACAAGCAAAGGGTCCTAGGTTAAGCCCCATTTGGCCATAAATTTAGAATTTTTTTTTAAAAAAAATAAAAATATGAAATTTAAAGTTGTGTTTGAATATACATTTTAATTAAAAAGGGTATTATAACTGAAAGTCTCGAAATTGAAAAGTTATTTGAGCAAATTTTTGGAAAATTAAAATATTTGAAAATCAAATCAAATTTTAATGACTAAGCGTAAATATTTGAAAGTAAAATTTTAAAATTTGACGTAGAGATCACCAATTTATAAGGTCATTGGGTGTAATTCATCATATGGCTTAGGACACAAATATCCTGTTAAATTACCATCAATTTTATTTAAACACTTAAATATTGACTTATTCAAATTAAATATCTGAATATATAATAAAACATTTTATTCCTTACTTTCACTTCAATTTAAAAAATAAAACAATAATTGAGTGTGATCTTCAATATCAAGTACATATTAATTACTTACCTTATTCAATACATCAGCTAGTCTCAATAATTCATAAAATTTTAGGCATTTTAGTGATGTGCATAACTAAAAAGAACTTTATTCAAATAATTAAGTAATTTACCTAATAAATACTTCAAATTGCATTTAATTTTTTCTGAAATTTAATTTAAAAATTATTTTATCAAACATACAAATGTACTTGTGGGGCACTTCTAGGAGAATGGGCCCCAGCACACTTTTCCAGGCGGCCGCGTGGTGGTCCACTGGCTACAGCTACCCAAATTGAAAAATCAAATCAATTTGATGATTTAATCTCAATATAAATTTAAAAATTGATGATATTTATTTTAATTAAAAGAGAATTCAATAAAAAGTTGAATTAAATCAATTATATATATATATATATATATATATATATATATATATATATATAAATTTTAAGTATATATATAGCATGTGTACAAATAATGGTGATATTAGTATTGAAATTACTTTTTTGCACTATAAAGTTGGAGACATTAAAAATAATATACAATGCATAAGTTTCTTTTAGAAAATTAAAGAATATTAGTTTACAAAAATAATATTATCTACAATACGGTAGAAAAGATTTTTTCAAATATAGGGATAATTATTTCTTTAACCGTGGTAATAATTGCATTAAATTTCATAGATTAATATCATAAATTTTTATGTATTAATTACACAACAAATACAAAATAGAATGTATATCTAATGTTAATATATCAACTAAAGATAATTTTTTAAAAAATTTTCATTCGGTGTTCGACGCTCATATTGAAGTCTCGACTAAATTTAGATTGAGCACTACAGGGCTTATTTGGGGGGTGATCCTCCTGATAGAATTTTCTCTATATCTAAAGTTCGAACCCGAGACATCTGATTAAGGACAAAAACATTCTCATTAATGCACCACAATTTATGTTGCTCCAAATACATATACAATGATTTAACACAAAATATGAATAATATACAAAATTATACGCATTTTCTTTTCTAATGCACTTTTATCAAAAGTCCATAACAGTATACCAAACTTTATTAAACATGTCGAACTATTTGCATTATGTTAAGACCTCATCTAACCAACAATATAATTTGATAATATAAAGGTGGCAATGTCCAAAAAGGCCTTAACAATTTGATCGGTGGATATATAAACTTTAGTTCAAAAAAAAACTATCAAAATGGTCGGTGTTACTTTATTTTGATTCTTTTAACATTTATATCGTCATTAAAAAAAATAGTAAGAAATATAATTGCAAAAGAAGATGGTTTTGAAGTGTCTAATTGCGTTCTTTAAAGAGATATTCCTCATGTAAATAGTGGGTTAAGTATAAATAATTCCATACAACAAATCGTTTTGTTTATTACGGAGATCTTTTTTAGTTTACTTCCCGAAATGCTTTATATTAATAAAATTTCAGAGGTGACTCTTCCTAAAAGTTATATTCTTTAATGAACAAATAATTTTTTATAAATATCATGTAATAATTTTTTATAACACTCAATCATAATTTTTTATTTTTCATGTGTTTGTTTCTATTAATAATTATGTGGGAAAATCGGGCAGAATAAAAGGAAAGAAATCCAAAGAGCAAGAGAACCTAGCAAAGAAAATAACAATTGATAGATTTAGATTTTATTCGTCATGTGAAGCCCATTATTGAACTTCACACTATTTTTTTTCACAATTTAGGGTTAAATTATCAAAATAAATATCTTTAATTATTATATTATAAATTATTTCACCTAAAAAATATCAGGCATCAAAATAAAATAACATCAATATATTAAGCTCTAGTTTGATCTTTGTCTTGTCAAACTTTTTACCTAACATAATTTTCTTAGAGTTCTAATTAAATTTAGTTGGCGTTTTGGCCATGTGATATAGTATCGTGAGATGAAATCAGCATTTAGACATATGATTTTATGCTGATTACATCTCGTGATTTCATATAATGAGATTTGATATCATATTCTTCAAAAATCATGGTATAGAATCATATGAGAATACAATATCATGATTTGAGTTATTTAAATACAAAAATTAATTCACGAATTTATATTTTGTTCAAACAACCCCACATTTCTATATACTAACTATTATTTCACATTTAAATAAAATTTATAATCACGTCATAACGTTTTAAAATTTATTAATTTCACTGACATAAAAAAATTTAATTCTCATCAACATAAGTCACTTTAACTCACACTTCACCAATATAATTTCACGTCATGTTTCATTTTAACTCAAATATATTGATGAAACAATTAATTAAGTGAAGAACAAATAGTTTTGCAATAATTTATTATACAATTTTATGATTTTTATTTATTTAATAATATAAAATAAATAATTAAAGCTATTTTAACAATTTTAGAATTTATGAGATTCTTATATTTATATTAAAAAAAAATACACAACATTAAAATTCTATATCATATGTCCAAATAAAATTTTTAATTTCGTCGCGTAATTCTATATTAATTTCTCCTTGTGTCAATTTTCATTAAGTACACAGTGGGGTACTGTAGTTATTTCAATCCTCCTTTTTTATTTTTTTAAGCTCTAAATTTTTTTGGGTTTCAGCTATTTGCAGCTGTGTTTGGGATTTTTCTGAAAAATGGCGAGGGTTGAGAACAACCAAAACATTGAACAAGAAGATGACGAGGTGAACGACTGTAAGATTGATCCGTTACTTGGTGATTCTCATGAATACACCATTGCAGCGGTAGGGAATGTCACCGATGCGGAAGGGGTGGATCCGTCTCCGGCGGCGTCCACTGATAGGGTGCTGTTGTTAAAGGAAGAACCGGAGGAGAATGATTTGCGAGTTTCTACGTCGGTTGGGATGAATATGCAATTGCAGAAGGTAGAGAAACAACCGGTGAAAAGATCCTCAAAGGACCGGCACACGAAAGTGGAAGGCCGTGGTCGGAGAATCCGTATGCCGGCGGCTTGTGCTGCTAGAATCTTCCAATTAACGCGGGAACTAGGTCATAAATCGGAAGGTGAAACTATAAGATGGCTTCTAGAACGCGCCGAGCCAGCCATCATTGCCGCTACTGGAACGGGTACGGTTCCGGCCATCGCGGTATCAGTAAACGGAACGCTGAAAATACCGACGTCAAACAACGAGGGAGAAAGCTCGAGGAAGAGAAGGAAAAGGGCTGCAAATAGCGAGTTTTATGAGGCGTCAAATTTTGCACCGGTGGCTCCCATTGCCCCACAAGGTCTTGTTCCTGTTTGGCCAGTGGGCTCTGGGAATGGACTTATTCCCACCACAGCATTTACCGGTGGGGCAACTTTCTATATGCTACCGCCAGGCACTAATACAACAGTTGCTGCTACTGGGGCTCAGTTGTGGGCCACTCCAATACTTAATGTACCTTATGCAGCAACAGGGGTCTCTGCTGCTTGTGTGTCAAAAAGTGATAACAATGGAGGCAAGTTAAGCACAGTTGCTTCAGCTATGCCTCCAAGTTCTAGTTCTACACAGATGCTTAGAGATTTCTCACTGGAGATTTATGACAAGAGAGAGCTTCAGTTTATGGTTGGTTCTGGTTCCAGTGAAATTGATCAAACTTCCTCATCTAAATCCTGATTAGGGTTCTAAGACCCATTAATTTATCTTTTTTTGTTAATCTCTTCTGGATAAGCATCTAGTTTTTTCAAAAGATTATTTTAACATTTTGCTTGTAAGCATCTAGGAAAGGAAGTTGCTCTGCTGTGACATGGGTTCGTCAATGTTAAATGTCAACTTGCTGTTTTCTTAGTTTTGGGGCACTCAACTTTTTCTTTGCATTATAGTGCTTGTTAATGTGCTCTATCCATTAGTAGTTTTTTCTTAAAAAAAAAGTAAATTTTGTACTAACATAAACTCGATCCTTTAGAAAATGTTTGTCATGTTCAATTTGACTAATTTTTTGATCATATTAATTCGATATTTTAAATAAAAAAATTAGATATTCTAAAACTATATGAAAAGTACTATAAATTATAATTTTTTACATATTAATATGATGAAAAAATGTGTTAGTCAAAGTTTTTATAGTTTGACTCTAAAAATAGAAATCATGACAAACAATATCGGAAGAGAAAGTAATATATAATATATATTTTCAATAAATAAAGAATACATATAAGCTATTTTTGTAACTGTGTATGTACTGTGGTTCTTATCTTTGGGTCCATTTGGCCCGTGCACTTGGATTACTTCATAAATTACATGTGACTTTAGAGTAGGGCCCACTAAAGATGGATAGAGGGGTGTGGGTCAATGAATACTAGTCAATACAAAAATTTAATTTTTTTTTTAAAATATGGTTTTTTAATTCAAAGGCTATGATTATTAATTAAATTCTCTTGATAAATAAGAATGGTAAATAGAGGGTATAAGTGTTAGGCACATACCAACGATTATGATAGAGTGATTTTTACTTCTTTATTCTGTATTAACAATTCAAAATTTTTCGTATAAAACTTGTTAACGACCATCAAACAAAAATAAAAATAAAAATTATGGGCAGATTTTATGTCATTTGAAGAGTGGGACCCAGTTCTAGGAGAGTGGGCCCCACGCTCAGTAATCGAGGAGGTCTACTGGCTACTAATAAGACTACCTTTCAGGTTTGTCGTTAGGTTTGCTGCTTTTTTGGGGGGTGGGGTCGAGAGAACAGGCTGGCAATATTCTGACACGTGGCGTACTCTTAGTGGTCATATGGGGATTACCTCTCTAAAGCTGACACGTGTCATATGATGTACTCTACTGTTATAATGGATATCATCTTAACTCCCCTAATATTTACTTAGGGCCTTTTTTCTTTGCACATTTATAAGTGTATTAGCATAAACAAATTTAATTAAAGAATAAATATGTACAAAATCTAAAAAGAATTGAGTTGCGCACAGAGGCGAACCTACTTATAGAAATGGATTGTAAGTACAAAAAATTATTTGACGGTACCTGAAATTTTTGAAGTAGTTTTAAAATTGACGAGGACATGCTAGAGGATTTTGAAATTTGTAACTTGAATATATGGATAAGATTAAGGAGGAATCGAAGGAATGAGAAGAAAGAAATTGTATAAAGTAAAATAGTAAAGAGAAAACATTATCACAGTACTTATCTTTTTTTATATTATTAGTGCAATTTTAACCTTACGTTTTATTACACTATTTTAGAAGTCATCATATATATCAGACTTCTTGTGAAACTAATTACCTACTGAATATTATTATATACTAGCTTAACTTGATATATAGTGTAAAACGTGCACAATATACTCTTAATTAATTCAACAAACCCTGGAATAATTAAAGCTTCTGTTGTTATAAAGTACGCCAACTATAAGGAAAGTTAGTAGTTTAATTTAGTGGTGGAACAGTTCCATTCATAATTATTAGAGGTTTCGAATTTGAATTGTGAATTATGGAGAAAATTGTCATTTCCAAATAGATCATGCACGGTCTGAATTTTATCGAAACTTCAATACAGCCACCAGACATCGAGTAGGAAAATGAAAAAAAATTCATTCTTACCCTTGAATCCAGGACAGACAAGTTTCTTTTTTTCTTTTTTTTATGTATGTATATACGTGTATACCTCTTAGTCCTTACCAACTGTTTGCCTTGAAGATTTAGACCAACCTGAAAGAAACAGATTAACTAAAAATTTACGAGAATTGATCTTTTTCAGTAATATTTATTCTTCATTTAATGAGATTCTTATTTACATGACAATTTAAGTAACATAATTTAAAAATAATTATAAGGATAATAATAAAAAATAGTCTTAAATTCATGCCGTTAAATATTTTTTCTTAAGAAGTATACCAAATCCCAATAATAATTCACTTAAAATGGCATAAAAAAGTAGAAGCAACTTAATAAGACTGTATACGTTATCCTCCTCAGACTTAATTAGTGAAACTATATTCTCATGTTATATATATATATATATATATTGATGTGCTTCTTACTCTTTCCATCTTTGACTAAAACAGAGAAAACTTCTATCTTCTTTGTGTTTTACGTTAAAGAAAAACTCCACACATAATAACATGAATTTACCTGTTTGTTTGATTAATTATTTGAATTTTAACTGTATTACATACACGCTGTTTGCATGATTGGTTACGTATTATTTCAAAATATATTGCATTGTATTTTTTAAAGAAAAGTAGGGTACAAGATAGAGTTAATATAAAAAGGTACGGTAAAAGATAAAATGTAATTATTAAATAGTAGATAAAGACAAAATGGGAAGCATATATTAAGCTAACGACGCAATCACATTAAATCACATCAGATGAGTCTTTTCGTCATATTACGTAACGATATTTGAAAAATATAATTCAATATAATTTAGTAACAATCAAAATAAACATGGTATTTAAACTAACAATATAATATAAAATAATATAATACAACGTGTAACAACCATCCAAACAAGGCGTTAGTGAGGACCAGACATTTGGTGCGGGAACAATTATATTTGATATATGAGAGTCCAATATCATAAATGTAAAGTGGAGAACAAGTAGCCATGTTCTGATATCATGTTAAAGAAATGAATTTTGAGACAAACGGTAAGGAATAACCACTCATCTCTTAATCATCACAGGTGAAACAAAATCATATATATTTGAAAGAAGAGAAATTTGTACTATTCTTGGAGTTGTTGTTAGTAATGTTGTTGAAAGCATTGCTGGAAATGCTTAGTCTCAAAGCACAAAATAAGCTTCATAAGACTTCCCACTTTTTACTAATTGAGTGACTTGAAAGTACATATTAGTAATATCTCCATGCACCAAACACCAAAAATACTATTTGTTTATTTGCTCATTCTATGCTATATATACCCAAAATCCTGTTGCACAATCATCTCATCTTCCTTTCAAGTTGCAATTAATTAATTAAATCCTTAGTTACCAATTTAACCTTAACTAATGGCTCCTTTTTCTACTATCTTATTTCTTGTTTTGTTAATAGCCCCTCTATGCAATGCAACTCTTGGAGTTCAATACTATGATCAAACATGTCCTCATGCTGAAGACATTATTTATCAAACAATTCGCAACGCTTCATTTTTTGATTCTAAAGTCCCTGCACGTCTTCTCAGGATGTTCTTTCATGATTGTTTCATTAGAGTAATCTCTCTTTCTCTATGTACAAAATTTTGGGCATCAGGCAAGTCATTATATTATAGATGCATGTAAGAGATGGAAGTTGAAACTGTTTTGTTAATGACTATTTACAGGGATGTGATGCATCAGTTCTATTGGATTCAACACCAGAAAACAAAGCAGAGAAAGATGGTCAGCCTAACCTCTCTCTTGGAGCTTTCTATGTGATTGATGCTGTCAAAACTAACCTCGAAAAGGCTTGCCCAACAACTGTTTCTTGTGCTGACATAGTTGCCATCGCAGCTAGAGACGTCGTCGCCATGGTACTACTCCATCATCCTCCCTACTAAATAGTCAATCAATGTGCAGTAAATAATACAATATGACCCGTTAAAATATACTACTAGCTACCAAGGCGTTGTCAGTGTATATAAGTTAAATTCCACTGCTTAAACTGCAATCATAAGCTCATAAATACTTCATGTTTGATCAATTTTGTAGTCTGGAGGTCCATACTGGAATGTACTAAAGGGAAGAAAAGACGGGAGAGTGTCAAGGGCTAATGAGACAGTAAACTTACCTGCTCCATCTTTCAACACAAGCCAACTCATTCAGAGCTTTGCCAACAGGGGACTGGCAGTGAAAGATTTGGTTGCCCTTTCTGGTGGACACACACTTGGATTCTCACACTGCTCTTCATTTGAAGGCAGACTTCATAACTTCAGCTCAGTGCACGACACTGACCCGAGTTTGAATGCAGTATTTGCACAGAGCTTAAAGCAGAAATGCCCGAAACCCAACAGTGATCGCAATGCAGGACAATTGTTGGACCCAACTTCATCAGTATTTGACAACAACTATTACAAGCAAATTATTTCAGGCAAAGGTGTTTTTGCATCAGACCAGAGTTTGTTGAATGACTACAGGACTGGATTGATTGTTAAGGCATTTGCCAATGATCAAGCTACGTTCTTCAGGGAATTTGCTGCTTCAATGATCAAGCTTGGAAATGTTGGTGTCCTTGAACATGGAGAAGTTAGACTCAACTGCAGAGCTGTGAACTAAAAAATGAGTGTGTTTGTACCTATGTTTGTTCTTTTTGCTGTCTAATAATCTGAGGCTTAATGAAATACTAGTATGAAATATCTATGCACCTTGTATAATTCCCTTGTAAGGTGAAGAGGTAGCAGAGGAAGAAATAATATCATCTATGTTGCTTATTGTTCATAATCCATCCTCTAAATTGTATTCACCGTACACATATAGTTTCTTTCAAAATTGAGATATAATACAAGCTCGTAAATTCTAAGATGGGGTAGGGTGGAAGTCTCCACATATGAATGTATTCCACCTACAACTATTAGCTTCTTCTTAAGTATCTCGATAGATTGCAATGGAGACATTAGTTGTACTCTATGACTACTACAACTACATACCTAGCGTACTCCCACAAATGGAGTCTAGGAAGGATAGAATGTTCCCAGATTTTACCCCTACCTTGGGAAGTAGAGAAGTTGTTTCCGACTAAGTTGCACAAACTCTTCACTTGCGATGTCGCACTCCTGTTGGATTCACCAGAAACACACTAATTTTGGAGAATCTGAAACAAAGAGTCTGAGCAACATAGGTTCTCGATAGACTTTCGGCTCAAGTACAAGCATTTCACGGCAGTTCAATCAAGAAAAGTAATAATTGTGCTCTATGATTAACAGTGCCAATTACGTAAGAAGCAACCAACTCAACTCCCTCCAAACAACAAAATTATAAAGGATTAGAATGTCAGACAACTTTTACCTGTGAATATTAATGAAAGTAATCCTATCACTAGTCCATACTCATGAAAGATTCAATGTTTAATTCAAGTGATTTTTCCAGTGTGATGCAGAAGTATAACTTAAATTCTTTACAGGGCAATGCCAGAAGCAAAAAGATTTATGGCAGAATACAGCAGTACTTTGACATAAAATGAAGTTAAGAAATAGAAGTAGGTGAACTACAACAAATTGAAGAGATTTTGTGCTCATTAAACTCAAGGGAGTTTAGAAAACAAAGATGATTCATTTGGGTTTAGCATTTGTTCAAGCAAATACAACATCAGATCGTAATATATATTTGATACCCTTAGTGACATTCCGAGCTTCATGCAACATACATTTATCCCCGTGAATGTGAACAAGAGCCATTCCTTCGGTCGGAGGTACCTATACAATGTCAAGAATAAATAGCAAAACAAAATCAGATATTTACTCAAGAAAAGCATGCCATTATTCTCTAATTGATGCCACATTATGCAGTTTACAATAGGATATATAGCATAACAAATCATGACTGAGTGATTGCCTTCTATGGATGTAATTGAAATATGAAAAAACACATCTAAAATAAGTATACATCTCTACACGTGTGAAAGAAAATCGAGAATGGGAACATTGAAGAATGAATGGGAGTGGCATTTCTGAGAAGGGGAGAATAGTACCTCGGCAACCAAAGTGTTTCTTGGACCATAAAAGACAGTTTCCCCTCCAACAAGGCTCTCAGACAATGAATCCTGAGAATCCTTATCAACTTTGGTTTTGGATTTGGGACCACCACTTAAATATATTAACAAAGTGTAGTGTGTGCGCTTCCCTTCTCCAATGTCAACACTTTCATCAATATGCCGTCCAAATCTCTGACCAGCCTTGTACCTAGAGAGCAACAATAGTTACTTGATGAGGACCGAATATTTGTTACAATGTCCACCTTACCATGTACTCAGGAAAAGGAAATGAGAATCACAAATGTGGAGAAAAGGAAAGAAATGGCTGCAAAGGCCATGACATCAGAGGAAAACTAATAGAATTTTTTAAACAAGCGACAGTAATAGTATACAAAAGTTTATTTAACAGATCTCAACTAATTGTTCTGTTGGTCATCATCAAACTGTAGATAAGTGAAGTATATAATTTGGTAACTAATATAAAGGGAGTAGTGCTATGAAAGCCCTTAACTATTTAATTTGTGGATATTTTAACTCAACAATATTATCATTATCAAGCGTCAACTTTACATAACATTGTAGGCTTCTCCTTCTGTCAACTTTCATGAATTACACAGTTACTTTATGGGGATATTGTAGGAATTCAATTTTTAAGCTTTCATGACAAAATAGGAACTTAATTCTTCTTTCTTCCTCACAAGCGCAACACCAGCGCACCAACCCTCTTCCTCCTTGTCCCAACAGTTCCCTCAAACACCACAGCACTAGTTTTTTCATCCAGCAACATCCCCCCTCCCCCCACAACCCCCACCACCACCACCAAAGCAACTTCTGTCTTTTTCTTGTCTCCTCCCCTGCAACTTCTTACTGCTACTTTTAACATCCCTTTTGCACTTACTTCTCTATTCCTTGTTATTTTCTTATTCTTTCCAAACTTCACTTTCAAATGTCATGTATTTTATTTCAGCAGCTACAACCAAAAGTAGAATCTTGTAAAATGTATAACTTTGTATGCTACACTTTCTTCTAGCTAAGCAGAATAGACACCCCAAGGTTTGCTTGTCTTTCTAGCATAGATGTATGCTACTGATTGTTTGAAAAAATTAAATTTATGTCAAACGTATAAAAATACCCTTTTAAGCTTGCAACCTTAGATATGTCACATGAAAAGTAAAAATTAAAATGTTAAACTTCTACTTTAGTTTAAAATTGTGATTTTTAAAATTAAAACCCTGCTCCATAATGTTAAAATTTGCTTTAAGAAAAGATGTATATTTATTGCAAAAATAACTATCCAAGCCTAGTTTACTCCCTAGGTTACCAATCCACATTTATTAAAAATGTAATTGTTTCATAAAATTCACAGCCTCCCTTCCCAATCCCAAAAACAGCTCCTCCAAATGGACACTCCTGTTTAACTCATAAGCTTCAAACGATCACCTATATGTTGACTACCTCATGACCCTTCAAAGAAAGAAACTATCAATACTCCCCAGAAGACCAGGAAAAAATCAGCATTCAATTTGTTTTTGTTCTGCTGCCCTATGGTATTTTGGATATTCACTATCTCCTCCTACATCTGATGATCAGTACCACCACCATGTAGGTAAACGACATGGTTGGTTATGACCTGTTCAATCTAGTCAATGTTTATCAAACTCAATAAAGTATATTTTAATTTATGCCACATTTTATCCAAATATTATGTTTACCACACAGCAGGGCAAAGGATCACACACACATATATATATATATGCGCCTAAGATGGAAATTCACATTTTATGTCAATAATATCACAGTTTAATGCCGAAAATACATCTAACCTGTAAAATCTAATATTAGGGTTCAATCCAACTGCAACTTTGCCTCGAATTTTGATGTCAGAAAACAATCTGTTCAGTCCAGCTCTCCACATTGCATCTGCAAGATCAGGATCATGCATAGATACACGATCATTGTCTCTATATGCTTCGCCATATGCAGGACCACGACTTCCTTGGTGAACAAACCCAATTGACTCTGCAGCTTTGACAAAAGCCTTTGATTCAGCTGGAGTAAAGAAATTCTCAACCTGAATAATATAAGCAAATAAAGGAATTATTAGAAGCCAATAATAACTTCATCGTTAAATGAAGGTCTTCTCATTTGACATCATGATTGAAGCAAAGATGAGAGATTGTTATTTCTAATGGGATAGCAAAAAGGTGTCCGGTTCGACTCTTGTCAAATAGACATGTTGGTTGATTTTATCCCCGATAAATTCACTTCAGTTTCTCTGTTCTGATAATCACATGAAGAAGAAATCCTAATTGAAGCTCATAAGGGATGCTTATTATTTCTCCATTTTAATTGAACATGGTGAAAGTAGCAAACTTAAATTGTTTCTAGTGGGGTAAGAGGTTTCTTCAACAAAACAAAATACCCTGTCACCTCAATTTATTTGATCCACTTGAGATTTCTCAGATTGTCAAACCTACAAAACAACAATGATCCAAGATGGATTCATCCAATCAAACTGAAAATTCTTACAAATGACACACACCTGTATCCTTCGACAATTTAACCAACTTTCTGGATTCACGTAGCATTTTCTAAGCTAATTTTGTAGCTACATAATCTTATTTCTTATCCAACTAACTATGAACTTCCTTGTTATGGAAAAGGATTGGCAGAGAGTCCTTTATCAATATAGCTAAGATGAAAACATTAACTTCTAATGCAAGAAATTTTTTTTGCTAAATCAACAAATAAAGCAGTAGCAGATTAAGCTCAAATTAACAATTACAAATGAATCTATTCACTCAGGGTGCAAAATCTCCAATTATAAATTTATGCTTCAATTATCAAAATAACAAGTTACATAGTAGTTTTCCAAAGTCTCATATCTCGTCAAAACAAACACGAACATAATTTTATTTATTTTTCGGCTAAAATACAGGCCAAACACACAATATATAACAACTTTTAGTGTAAAAAGGGGGAAAGAATGAATTCGTACAGTAATGAGATCGTTATCTTTGAGGCGATTGACCTCAAGGTTCAATTTGAGTTTGATTGATGGCCAACCTGATTCTCTCTTCTCCTTCTTCCCGTCATTCTTCCTCTTTTCTGCCATTTTTCTCTTCATTCACACCTTCATCTTTTTCTTCCTCTGCCTATATTAATGTCTGCAAAATATGACAATTTGGTGGGCTTAAAAGTTTCTTGGGCCGCGATAACAATTTGGACCTCGAAACCGATTCACCAAGGTACCGGAAAAGTTGACATTATTTTATGAAAAATTTAGCTAAACTAGTCAAAAAAATCAACTTATTTAGTGATATCTTTCGTACTTTAATAATAAACATGTCAAAAATGTTATTATTTTAAAAATAAAAAAATATGATGATGCGAATCATGTTTTCTCTCTCCTAAATTGCACGGGCCCATATATTTCGATAATTGGCTAGATATTAAAGTCCTTAAATTATGGGTTTTTTTTCAATTTCTCTTTCTAAAAAATTAATCCAAATCAAATATACCCAGATTTTCAGATTCAATATATTTTTATTTTCGATTGTTTTCCTTTACTTTTGTTTCAAGATTGGATTTGAAGATTAACATTGATTTGAGTATTCAAGTTTATCATATTCTTTATTATTTGCTTATTGATTTTACAGTTTTTAAAGTCTTTTTGATTTGTTGTTGTTCTTAAAAACCTCTTTTAGGGATTGATAATCCCAAATTTTCTCTTCCATGGATGATTTCAAAAGAGTTACTAAAGGTGTCGGACAAAATAATCGAACTTCTTCTGATTTTTCATCATTTAATCTTTTTTTCACTCAAGAAATAAACAATAATGTAGGTTCCGCTTCTAAATTTATGGAGGATAGACGATGTGGAAAATTGAAGGACTCCGTCAATGTGCTAAATTCCACACAAATTCATAACGATAAAGTTGAAGAAGACCAAATTGTTAGAGAAGAGGTATCTTATTTTTTTGCATGTTCTGTGTCTTGCATGTTTAGTTGAATTTGCTTAGTAACTTTAAAGATTCAAATAAATACATGTTACAATGCGTTTGTACTATTATAGAATAGATTTGGAAGTGTATACGAAATTTTGATTTTGTTAGAGTTATTATGTATTTTTGTATTTCATATATTTATTGTATTTTGTATTCTGATTATTTTTGTGTGTTAGTTATGTCAATGAAACACATATTATGCGTTTGATTGTGTTATTTACTATTATAGAATAAGTTTGTGAGTATATATGGAATTTTGATTCTGTTATAGTTAGTATGTAGTTTTGTATTTCATAGATTTAATGTATTTTGTATTCATAGATTTGGAAATGTATATGAAATTTTGAGACTGTTATAGTTATTATGTATTTTTGTATTTCATAGATTTCCAAAAGACCCTTGAAAACTTTGATGATTTTCACTTGATTTGACTCTTGATTTTGATTTAATTCTTACTTGACTCTTAGCTTTCCTCGAATAAAATTATGAATTCAAGGTTTTGATTCGCGTGTTTTGTGATTCTTAGGTGTTGAGAAATCATTTGAAGTATATAGAATTACCGTGAAGTGTTAATACACTTTATTGGGACTTAATAGGCTAAACTACGAAAACTAGGTGAAAGATGTCGATTCTTAGGTGTTTAGAAATCATTTGAAGTATCTTGAAGTTTTTTTTAGAGAACAAGTAATTAATGTTAAAGCTGAAATATAAAAATAATAATTATTTTTCTATATACTAAAGATAATACATAAAGTAAAAATATATTTTTGAAATGATCAACTAGATAAAAAGCGAATCGAAGAAAGTTTAGGATAACAACATTTTGTAAGGAGAAAAGACTTACATATGTCATCTAACTTTGAGAAAAAAAATCATCCATTAAAAGTTTGACTCATTTATAACTTTTTATCGTTGAGAAAAAGTTCTTTCATGCCATTATTTGTTAATTAATGACATTTTCTATGAGCAATTTTTTATTTTCAAAGATACTCTCTATAAGTGTAATTAATGTGAAAGTGATGTACAAAAAGAGTTTGAGGGTGTTATTATTGTCATTTTCACTATTTTACTACAGAATATGTTATTTCAAGATTATTATTCAATTCAGATGCAAAGAGAACGTATACTAGTACTAAATTATTCCGAGTTAAGTTATTTCAAACTTTGTAACAAAACATGGAATTAATAGGTACAAAAAATTCATCCCTTTATCCGTCATACCAAACATGTTCTAATGGTAGTATGGAAAAAAAAACTCTCCTAATAAACATGAAAAATGAGATACTTGTTTTCGATACAGAAGTCAAGTTAAACGAGAAGAGTATTTCATTAATTAACTTTAACTTATTACATTCGGACTCGGAACACTCATTAAAAGAGAATGCTAATTATTAAGATTATTTTACTACAGTATCTTTATTAGTTGATATTTAGTATCTTGATTTTTTTTAGAGAATAAGTGATTAATGCTAAAATATAAAAAATAATTATGTTTCTTATTATGTAAGAACAATACATATGGTAAAAACTATTTTTGAAATAATTAACAGATTAAAGTGAATAACAACAATTTGTAAAGGAAAGATTCACATATGCCATTAAATTTTGAAAAAAAGGTCATGCGTTAAAAGTTGCCCATCCATAGTATTTTACTTTTGAGAAAATTTTTATCCATGTCATTATTTGTTAAATGAAATAAGCACAAATAAATTAAATTTTAACGTATAACATAGCTGAATCAATTTTTTAATAAATGACATATTTTGAGTCTTTTCACAAAGTTTGCTGATATAATTGAGCCTCTTCCCTTTCAAAAATAAACTAATTAATGATGTCAGCGGATCATAATTGACCATGTACAACAATTGATTTTATAAATGAAAATTGTTTTCGGTTAACAAATATTAATTTGAATAAATTTTTTCAATGAAAATGACCCATATAATCCAAACCTTTTACAAATATCATAAATGAATCTTTTCTCCAAGTATTAAAGACATATTGGATACAACTTATTCGCACCGAGTGTTTACATCACATCAATATATGTTTACTACGTGTTCAAATTTACAATTTATTTTACTCATTCTTTATTAATTGACATGTATTTTACTTCATTAAATCATATAATAACGAATTTTGGTGTAAACATCCGATACAAATAAATTTACTTTTCGGTTTTATAAATACCAGTTGGCAAGAAGCTGACTCGGCCTAAGGTAGTGAGCCACGTGACAACGCTTGCTACCATTGGCCATTTTTCTACCAAATCTTTCAAAATGCAATAATTCAGTCTGCCCAACTTTATATTATAAAGCTATTTAATTTTTCTCAACATATTACAACTTTATATATTTATGTGGACCCTCCTATTACTTCCCAATCTAGCTTGTTACTAATTAAGGTTTTCATGTACAATAATCTCTTATTTAAATATTTTTTTAAAAAAATAGTATATTACTATAAAGAAAAATATAAATTAATTTCTAACAACTGTTTTTTTTTTTTTTAATAAAATAAAAGTGTAATCCCATTTCTACGGTCCTGAATTAGCGCTCTCTATCCTTTTCTTAAATAAATAAAAAAATCTATATATGATGTTGCTTTCTGATAAGATGGGATTTACTAAAACAAGATAAAAAATAAGGTTTACTTTTTTTGTGCTTTTCTTTCCCCCCTTGTTTTTGGTTTAGTTAGTGACTAATAAGAGTGATGGAAAAAGACATACATAAGAGAACAAATTAAGACGTGTTTGAATTGACTCTTTTTTAGGTGGCTTATTAGTTAGTTTAAATAGACACTTTAACTAGACATACTACCTATTGAACACTTTAATTATTTCTAATATGAATTATTTGAACATTTTTTTTATCTACGTGACACATTGTTTGTAATCCACACCCTTTAGGCGCGTGAAAGTATTAAATTGGGCCCTTTTTTTATGGAAAAAAAATATTATTTCTTCTTCATCTTCTTTGGCACTTCTTCCTCCATCACACCACATTTTACCAGTATCACCGCCGCTACACACCCCTTTTTCTTCCTCTTATTTTCTCCTGATACTTAACCTTTTTAGCTCAATTGTTGTTATATTCTTGGCCCCATTGTCATCCATATTAGGATTGGCTGCACCACCATTATTATCGTCATTTTCTTTCATGTTTAATTTGTAAAGGCTTTAAGTTTGGAGTTTGTATCTTTGCTATTAATTTAATAATTTGGTGTTAAATTGATGTCCAGTTGTTTGAATTTATTGGAGGATTTTTCTATCAATTATTTACTTTGCTCAAATTTTTATTGAAGTTTTTAATTTGTTGTATATGTGTTGTTTTGACTTTAAATTGATGTATATTGGCCTAATGTAAGAATGTTTCTTCATCCAAAAAAATTAATCGATTATGAAACTTAAAAAAAATCAAAATAATTCCATTTTTTTCCAACAATGACTAATGAAACTTAGAAGTTTTTCGGTGAGATTTTCCCCCCCATCTTTCTCTACCTAAAAAACGAGATGAAGTAAAAAGTTATAATTAATAAAAAAGCTGATGAAAAGGTAATTTTGTCGGGATGAAGATGGCATTGTACAGGGTGGGGGAGGGTCGCTATTAATGGAGTTAAAGGGAAATGTATGTTTTGGGTGATTTAAGTTTAAGTTTTTTTTTCTTCATTTTTTTACTTTAAAATAATTTTCTTTTTTTTTACTTTATAATATAATGTTCATTATTTATATTTGTCAAATTGTTATGTCAGCGCGAATGTATTTCACACATTCTCTATTTTTAGTTTATTCTCAAAAAAATGTTCAAATGATTCAAATTCAGAATAGTGGAAGTGTTTAATAGGTAGTATATCTAGTTGAGGTGTCTAAATGAATAATGAGGACAAGTTTGAGTGGCCGCATATGACTTTGACCTTTGTTTTAATTTATGTGATATATTTCAAATTTTGAGATTTAAACAAGTTTATTTATTATCATAAATTTTTTATATCTTTTAAATATTTTGAACTATCAGTTATTGTGACTTATAATACTTTTTATGTAGTTTACAAATATATAAATTTCATTTTTAAAAAATTAAAAATTCCATAAACAAATTCTCAATCAAACTTAATTCATTTAACTCTCCAAAATGAAATATATCAATATGTCACATAGATTGAGATAAAAGAAATTAGTACCTTTTCGGCTTTAAAAATATACATTCTCTATATAATCCAAACACTTTCAAAAAAAAAAAAAGCTTAAAAATCGAAAATTACTAAAAATAAGTTAATCCAGACCCCATTAACTAACACAAATATATGGGAAAAGTAAGTTAATGTTTTTGGTTTTGTGGTCCGCAAATGAAGAGATACATACATCAATCCCATAAATAAAGATCCTTCATATATATATATATATTTTCTAGGAATCTAATTCCTTAACTATTTTCTTTTCCATCCTCTTTCCTTTTTCCCGGAAAATCGGTACGGAAATCCTTAATGTCTTGGAGTTTTAATTTATCTAGTTTAATGTTTTGTGATTTTGAAGCCATTATAGTACTATTTTTTTGTTCCTGCGACTGCCGTCCAGCTTAATTTTCATAGCTAGGGTTTTCCAAAGTCCTTTTGTTTTTTCAGTTGCAATTTTTTTTTTTTGCTGAAATTAATTCTAAAATATGTTTTTGAGGTGTACTTATAGTCCACCATCTGTTTCTTCATTGTAATTTTTATTTTTTATTTTTTTTGTATTCAATCCATATTAATTAATTTTTGCAGGAATTTAAATGGTGAGAGGAAAAGTAGAAATGAAAAGAATAGAAAATTCAACGAGCAGGCAAGTGACGTTTTCGAAAAGACGAAATGGACTTACGAAGAAAGCTTATGAATTATCAGTTCTTTGTGATGCTGAAGTTGCTTTCATTATTTTCTCACATAAAGGAAGACTTTATGAATTTGCTAGCTCCAAGTAAGAATATCTTAATTTTTGATTCATTTCACTCTATTCAATGTATACATTTTTTTCTTATTTGCTTCTAATTTCAAAGTCAATAGGCGTGGGCTTAATGTACTTTGAAAGTACGATGATGCTGTTTTTTCTTCTTTTTTTTTGAAGTTAACCTCGTCTATATCAATTTGTGTTTTTATCCACTAATCAAGTATATATTATGTTTGGATATGTCTAGATAGTTTTGAGGTGTGAGTTAGGCTTAAGATCAAATTTTACAGAGCTAATGATCATGGGTGGAGCTAAGATATGAGCTAATTAAGTAACTTTGGTTCAAACCTTGCGTTTGTCTTGATCTAGAACCAAGTAGCTTGAATAGATTAAGATAATCTATAATCTTTAAATTTTATCTCCGCTTCTACGGATGATTAATAGTATTTTTTTTAATCCTATCTTTGATTTCAAATTCAGAGAAACACTTGGATTTAAGTTTGATCCAATTAATGTACGACCTTAAAAAATATATGTTGATCTTTTACTCAATATAAATAATTATACAACAAACAATATTTCGTTTTATAGAATCATGTGGAGGGGAATGTGATTAGAGAAGGGAAATAGAACTTAATTGTTAAGTGTGTTTACTATTTTATTGGAAGAACTTAAATATGATATCAGACTAGGCATTGATCTTGTTTTTGAATCAACTCCATTAGCACAATGAAACAAAAATTTAACAACATACTTGTTCAACACATAAAAGAATCAAGCTCGTATTAAATGTGTACTTAATTAAACACTCATCAAAAAAACTAAAGTTAAGATAATCATTCAAGTGGATTTATGAGAGATAAACAAATTTAATTTGAAGTTCATATTGGTAAGAGACTTGGAAGGTTGAGATGCTAGATGCATATGTGTTATTTTATGCAATGTCCAAAAGGGGTCCTCTTAATTTATTAGAGTATGATATCACTTATACAACGTATGTTTCTTCTACATCATGAGGAAAATTTAAGTCGAGAATTTTTTGAAACAATCTCTTTTATTTTAGAAAGAGATAGTTATAACATGTATCGAACATATTTCATTGAGTACGTTGTTGTATACTTAGGAAAGTCTTCTCTTGAGAGTGGGGAGTGGGTGTGGAGGTACATATATTTGGTTGCTTTTAAATCTTTTTTGAGCAGTATATATGGTACTAGATAGTGTTGATTGCTACTGCTATATATGCATCTTTTTATGTTAGGTCACCGTCCTACTAATTTCTCTAGTACGTACTCTCATTTTTTGGGGAAATAATTAAAATACAACTAAAATTAGTCTACTTGGTTGTGTTTGGAAAAACCTACTAATTAATGGAGAACATAATCACAAGTTGATGAAGAAAAATAAAAGTTACATTTTCCAAGAGATCTTATTACCTAACCTAGGCAGGGCCAGTGAGATTATTTTGGAGATACTTACTTCCCATTACTTCTAAAGAGGTTATTTGTTACGTCAAATAAGAATAATAATTTTGAGATTAATTTTATTCATGTATCTCCCCACCGATTACTTCAACTGAATTAAAGAGGTTATTTGTTACGTGAAATAAGAATAATAATTTTGTGATTAATTTTGTTTATGTTTGGTTTAAATGTTAACTAATTTTGGATGTACTAAAATGGTAGGATTACTCCCATGAAATATCATTGCTTATTATATTTTGTGTATCAAAGAGTTTTTATGTCATCAAAAAGATATTTATATGGAAGTCATTGTAAAAAATATGATTCTTAATCCTGAAAATAAGATAAGTTATTTATTTTAATGTTAATAAGTTATAAGTGATACGATAATGTAAATAGTCTTTCTGCTGACGATAAAATATGACTTAAGGCTCACAAGAAGGTTGCACTATACAAAATTATTTTCTAGTTATCAATGTGAAACTTTTATCCCTACATCCCATCGAAATAAATTAAAACTAAAAGACTATTAGCAGCTCGATCATGAGTATTTAAACTTGTTTGTTGTTAGATCAGGTGAAAATGTTAATGTTGTGGAATACAAACTTATCAAAAACATGTTATATTGATTAAGATACAATTGAGCAACCCTCGAGAATATTAAATATTTTCAGATGTATATAAGTGGGAATATTTTAAGTTCAAAGTTAGATTACAGAAATGTCCTTCACTAATTTTAAAATTAAAATTTTATTTACTAATTTTTAAAATTAAATCAATAATGACGATTAAAACTAGACCAAATACATGATTAGATGTTACAACTTATCATTTTTCATTTCTTAATGAATTTGATTGTTAAATTTTTTTAGCTTCCACCATTAAACATATTCATGCACAAACCTTTCATGTACTTAATTTTTCCTTTAGAAATTGAATTAAAAATATTAATCCACCCCACTTTGTATTTCATCATCTAATAGTTCTTATGTAAGTAGTATTTTTTTTATTGGTCACTATTTTTCTTATTGATTTGTGCCTTCGTTCATTTTTTATTTTCATGGTTGTTGGAGAAGTACATAATCTAATAGTTCTTGTAATTTTTTTTTATTGGTCACTATTTTTCCTTTAGTTTGTGCGCTTCATTCATTTTTTTATTTTAATGATTGTTGGAGTATTTATGTCCCAAGAAATTTCAGAGCCGTGGGGCTTAGTTCTAGCCTTACAAGTTGCTCATCATTTTTTCAAGTCGTTGATGTTTAAGTTCTAGACAGAAAGTAAATACTAAAAAGAGTTTATTTTATATGCACAAAAACACATATAGGAGTACATCAGACAATATCGAGCAATTCTATATCTTGAGTCTATATAAATTATAACAATAACAGAAATCAAATGTGCAAGGCACGTTTCCAGAACTAGTATATAATTATATAGTCATGACGATCCATTACTGCTTTTACAATAATTATTTTGGAATGATTCAGCATGCAGAAGATAATTGAGAGATACCGAGGACGTGCAAGAGAAACAACGACGGTGGACAAAAGCACTGAACTCGAGCACTACATGGAGGTAAGTATTTTCTCTTATGTGCATCAAACAATAACCAAAAAGTTATAAGTATATGAGGAAAACAATTGATTCCTATCGATTTAGTTTGTGTGATGTAGTTTAAAAATGATATGTTTGGGCTTAAAGAAAGAATTATATTAAAACTTATAGTTTAAAATAAATACAATACTTGTGTGACTAATGAATTAGTTTTTTAGGAATAAAATGTATATTTATTAATGAAACAGCTAGAAAAAGGTTTGACAAATTTATTATTGAGTCACTCTTGAAAATGTCATAGCAATAATTGAAACTCTTGAAAATGTCATAGCAATAATTGAAGGGAAATCCTTGTGGATAATTAGAAAGAAGAGGAAGAGTCATTACTGTTGATCCACTAAGGGGAGGGATGTAGTAAATGTAATTCTTGAAACTACTTGTTAATACACATCATCTCATAAAATTTAGGTGTTAAGGACACTAGGCAATCGAAAATTTAGGTGTTAAGGACACTAGGCAATCGAAAATGTCATGTAAAATGAACTAAGAATAGTCTCATACTAAAAGAAGAGTAGGAAATAGCTTTAGGGACAGAATTTACCCTTGTTCCAAAAGGTGCCTCTTCCTGAATTTACAACCACTTCGATCTGACAAGCCAAAGGGGCCATATTCTATCATGAGATAGCGATGTGCATTTTCTGTTATCATCCCTTTTCATTGTCATTTTTGAAGTAAATAGAAAAAAAGAAGAGGACTTAGGCAATTCACATTAAATACAAGAAAGTCTACTGGTAGAATATCTCGTAGAAGAGCTACTTTGCGAGAATTTTCAAATCATTTTAGTCTATGACACAACAAGGTTTTTTTTTTCAAACAATTTTATATCACTAGACAGAATGTCTAGCGGCCTTTATTAATAATAAGATAAAAATCTCAATTGAATAAGTACAAACAAGGGGGGCTAGGTTTTACCTTATCAATACTAATGAGGTAACAAACCTTTACTAATTAATAAGGATGAAGAAAATAAGAGCTAGATAAAATCAAGTATTCTATGACAAATGAAGATACTTAAATAATGCAACAATATATACGTCAAGAAGAAGGTTGAGTTATCAACCTCAAACTTCTTTTTATATATGTATGAACTAAAAACGATAGTTTGTCCATCTAGAGTAACCTGAAGTATTTTCCTCTTGTCTTCTTCTTCATATCCGTCCAATAACACTTGATAGTTCATCACTTCTTCTTGGACTTATTGGATCTTGTCGAAGTTGTTGAAATTGTTATATGATTTTGCTTTACCAATCGCATAGGCACCTGCCTTTGGAACAAATTCTTCAGAGCCCCTTACCATCCCAACTATGTTATCTTCCATGTGTCTTTTTTTTTCGCTTCTTTGTTGCCTAGGTGAAAGATCCTCATCCCTAGCCACTTTATCAAAATATATATCTAACATGTTATCTTCTTCATCCTCTTCAAAGAATTCCTCTCCCAAATCATCATCTTTTTAAAAGAATTCCTCTCCCAAATCAATATATTGGCTAATTCCTTATGCGAAGGCTCCTGACTCATTCTTCTTTGAGATCACATTTTTAGGCATAAATGTTGGAGCCTCTGTGCTTAATTTGCTATTCAAAGGAGTAGGTGAAACTTGTTCTTCTTCATCAACCAAATCAGACCACCTAGAAACATTCATCTCTCCTTGTTTTTTCTTAGAGATAATCAAATCATTTGTCGATTTAGCACGAGAGAGATGACATACCTTTCTCCATACATCGCTCTAGTTGATTTTTTCTAGTAGCTGACAATGGTTCAAATACATTTTGAGTTGATAAAGTTAAATTAGGATCAATGCACTCAGTCACACCTTTTTCTCGACTTGAAGAATTACTTCGACTTATTGACGAAACATATCTTTTTCATGTCCTTGATGTTTAAAATGAGTGTAATACAGTGGAAGAATATCATAGACAATTTTCTGATAATGTTCAATAATTTTACCCGATTCTTTCTCCAAAAACTGTAATCTTACACGATTTGGATGCTTATCTAGTAAGTCTAGGATTATCTTAACCCTAGAAGTGCTTGGCCTGATTCGATCTTGTGTTGCTTTATCCACTGCAATAGGCTTTCATGTCTTTGTTTCAATCGATAATAAGGACCTCCTCGCAAAGAGATCTGTAGGTAACTCTGGCAATGAAATTCGTACCCAGGCTTTAGGTGTTTCCTCTTTAGGGTTGAATGATGGCGTCCACAGAAAAATTCTGAAGAAATACTCTTCACCATCAAACTCAAAATATTCGTAAAAAATTGATAGAACCTGTACAAAGTCCTCATATGAATCAAACCTAATCAAAAGGTGACGAAAATCAAGTTGGTCCAATATTATAATTTCCTTTAACATCAAATTGCTTTGGTAAAAGCTTTTGCAACTCGGATAACAACGATTTTCCATAAGCAAATTTGATAAACTCAATGGGCTTTAGTATGATTTTAACAGGTTTTGGATAGTTTTTTGTGGTTTAAGGATCGTTGCATAGGGTGATTTTATATCAAGGTTGACGTTTGTCTCTCCCACGGCCAGAGGCTGGGGAGAGGGCGAAGCAGCCATGGCTGCTATTCGAGTTGCCATGGAGAGAGGGAAAGGAAAGAGTGGGGGGCTTGACACAAGAAGGTTGTACTATCATTATAAATCAAACTTTTACTTTGATTGTTATTGACTTGACTACATTATCACACTGAGTAGTGTTTTCTCATGGAAGAAAGAAGGAGCTTAGCTTCTTAAAGGGCTCTTAATAAAGAAAACTTTTTTTAAGAAAGCAAGCCTTTTAAGTAGGGCTTGAAAGAAGGCAGGCGATCAAAGTGTCCAATCAATTTCATACTAGCTTTTAGAAAAATAATAGTAGAAAATGTAATTAAAGAAGAAGAAGATGGCTTTGAGGCGTGTAATCACTTTTTTTGAGTTATTGCTCGTATACACATTGGAGTAATATAAACAATTCTCTTCAAGGATACAACAAAACTCTTTGTTTATACATACAGATTTTTCATAGGCTACTTCTAGAAAGTCTTTACATTCATAGAACTTAAGAGATCACTCTTTATAAGAGTCATGTTCTTTCATGAACATATGACTGTTCATAAAGGTCATGTTCCTTTCTGAATAAAAGACTTTTTATAATAGTCATGTTCTTTCATGATCACCCAAATGGTCACCCAAGTTAAGGGAATCATCTTAAAATATCAATTATGTTTCATTTAGGATCAAAATATCATCCCAACTATCACTATTTTCCTTCAAATATACTTGACAATTCAAAAGCATCACTCTCTCCTAGTTGGCATGAAATGTCATTGAAGTCTTATTTTAATATAGACTAATTTAATTCATTAAACTCATTTAACTAAAATAATGATCATATTGTTTTTAATTTTTTTAATTAATTTATCAAGAATAAATTTTCATACTTAAAATCTTTTATCATAATTAAACTTTTTATGTTTTTATGTTATGCAGAATGCGTTTTTATAAAACGTACTATAATCTCATTAATTTTAAATACTAATAAACACATAGATTCAAAAAATATTGATATACAAATCACTCATGAATGCTAATTTACTTCAATTAATCATAAATTGTATAATAAATCAATAATATTAAAAATTAATTAATTATTAAAAAATAGTTATTTGGGTACATTGAAATCAATACATACTTATAATATCTTTTTTAAAAGAAAATAATAAGTGAATAATATTTATAGAATATGAAATTTTGATCTTTATTTATCAGTATATTAATCTCATATAATATGCATACTATTGAATTAAATTAGTAAATTCAATTAATTATTAGTTTATTTATTGATGTTTAATTGTATGAAAAGTTATAATATAATATAATATAGAATAAAAGAATAAAAATAAATTCAATTAAAAAAAGTTAATAATAATTTTCTTTTTCTTACTAATTTTTTGTCAAACTTACAAATCTATCTAATACTTTTATTAAAAATATTGTTTGAAATTTTCAGATAATTTAGTTAGGAATTTTAAAATTATCAGGTAATAATTGCATACAGAGATTTTTTCATAGAATTTTGTTTGGTGACGATATATAAAATTACTAGACTTTTTAAATTACTTTTCTTATAATCTTCATAAATTCTCATGTAATTTATATATTTATTTTGTAGAGACATAAGTTTGATGAATTAAAGAGGTCTATTATTTTTTAAACTGATTATCTAATGACAGGGCATATCAACTAGAATTTAAGGAGATTTTTGAGGTATTTAGTATTTCTAATGGATAAAAAAATATAATATTATTCACTTTCTTCTTCTTTTTTTCAAAAAAAAGCAGTATCGGAAGCATGAATTGCAAAATATACAATTAATATTCTTGTAATAGTTATTGACCTTTGATATTATTGATTTATTATACAACTTATGATTAATTGATGTAAATTAGATTTAATGAGTAATTTGTATAAAAATATTTTTTTGAATGTATGTGTTTATAAGTATTCAAAATTAAAAAAATATAGTACATTTCAAAAATGTATTCTTCATAACATAAAAAACAAAAAGTTTAATTTTGATAAAAGATTTTAAGTAGAAAAATTTATTCTTAATAGATTAAAAATAAAGTAATAATATGATTATTATTTTAGTTAAATAGGTTCAATGAATTAAATTAGTCTATTATTAAAAAAAAAATTTAATAACATGTCATGTCAACTAGGATAGAGTGATGATTTTAAAGTATCAAGTATATTTGGAGGAAAATAGTGATAGTTGAATGATATTTTGGTGCTAAATGAAACATAAATGATATTTCAAAATAATTCTCTTTAACTTGGTTGACCATTTAGGGAATTGACTCCACCACTTGAATATACATATAGGTGAAATTAGCTACTATGTCCTGTTACTATATACTTTTACTTATTACATTAAGAATTACCTCAACCTCTGTGTAATAATTTGCATTATGGAGTTTGTTGCTATGCCCCTGTTATATCAAGCATAGTTTAAGGATCTTAACCTTTATTTGTTCACACATTTATAATATTACATCTTTTGAAACAAAATTTTACAAAAGGTCTGACAAAAATTTTAGATTCATATTCTTTAATGAACATATGACTTTTCATAAGAGTCATATTCTTTCGTGAACATATGACTTTTCATAAGAGTCATGTTCTTTCGTAAATAAAAGACTTTTCATAATAGTCATGTTCTTTCACGAACCGATGTGTCTGCTCAAAACCTCTATATATTAATCCAATACTCTCTACTTCTACTACCATCACCCCTAGTATTGCATTATGAATGTTCGGTCATTTGAAGAAAATACAGTATTGCATCATTTATGAGAGTTCGGTCATTTGAAAAAAAAGCACTGGATATCACTAAGTGTCCTTAATGCTATGATATTGACAATTAGGTCAAAAACATTTTTGAATTCAAAATATTAAAGATTATTTGGATCATTCTTCCAATATATCTCAGCCTTAAGGGTTAGCTTGCTTCCACTAGTAGCCTAAGGGGCGATCGACCTTAAGACATGGTATGGAGGCGAAGGTATGGAAGTACGACAATGCAGTCTAAGGAGGAGTGGGACTTTGGAAGCTACATGAAAGAGAAAGGACATAGCTTAATGGAGGAGTTAGAGATCTATTTGATTCCTTGTGAGAAGATTTAAGTAGGTTTTTGTTTTTCTCATCTGGATGTAAATATAGGGGACTACACAACCTTCGTGTACGTGATTGACTTCTTTCTCAACTTAAATAAAGGAAGAGATGGATTGGAGAAGAATTCATTCCTCTCCGAGCAGTGAAGTGCCATATCCTAGAGAGAAGGCTTTACCGATCGTTAAGATAGAGTTGGTGTCGGTAGTTGTTCTTTTACTTAGATGACTCTTAAAGCTAATGAGATGATTCCGATAAACCGGCATTCCTCATTCCTCAGAGAAAGGAAAATCTTTCAAAAATCCATGTGGAAGTTCTTTTTATTATATGTACTTCGATACCATGTTGAAGTCTGTGACTGTGTCATCTACCAGCTTAAGCTTAAGGTGTTAGAGCGAGCACACTTTTGATTAGTTTGTGATATTCGGTTAGAAAATGCAAAATTAGAGAATTGAAGTGATCTTTGATTTCTGAATATGATTAGCCTTTAAGTACAAAAGTAGTTCTAGACTACTCAAACTTTATGCAATAAAAGCATCTATGAAGATGCGCTGTTCTAGACTTTACACACAAGAAATTCTCTAAATCACAATTTACAACAAATATATCCATGACATTGAGTTGAAGATGGACTGTTAAAATTTTGCTATATCAGAATATTTGTAATTAGTGAAGAAAAGTCTAAAATAATATGAAAAGCCATGACTTATATATTTTAAAATGGTCAAAAAAATATGTGCATCTCTTCAAGGAAGTTCATATAGTAGAGCTAGCAAAGAATGAAATGAAATTATATGTACATGTCCCATTCTGCTTCAATCAATAATCATCTCTAGGAAAATTCTAAACCTCATAAATCATTTCTTGGTTAGTTGGTTTTAAACCCTTGAATCCCTCTTTAACACCCCACCTCATGCCCAGTGCTTAGCATCTGGTGCGTGGGTAATTTGATTTTGAGGTCCCAACATCAGGTGAGACAGACCCTGCTTTAATACCATGTGAAATTAGGTCTTAGGCCTAACTCACACCCCAAAAGCTAGCTCAGAAGGAGGAGGATTGTTCAAGCCTTATAAGGAGTCCACCCATCTCATTTATCACCGATATGGAACTTTTGTCATTCTTTGACACCTTCCTTGATTTTGAATCCGATAATGATACACCATTGATTGATTTCATTTTTGCAGAACTTGAAGCATGAAACAGCTAATATGGCGAAGAAGATAGAGATCCTCGAAATTTCTAAACGGTTCTCCATTTTTTTAATTTACTACTCCTTTCGTAACACTTATTTTAGAACGGAAGAACTAGTTATTTACTTAAATTGGGAAATTTTTAATTGATTAGGAAGCTAATGGGGCAAGGATTAGGGTCATGTTCAATGGATGAACTAGAAGACATTGACAGCCAACTGGAGAGGACCCTCAAAATTATCAGGGCTAGAAAGGTACTAATTAAATTCAATATTATTCAATATTTGACACTAATTTTAATTATTTATCCTTAATTCTTTAATTTCTCATTTTAATTTCTAGACTCAATTGTTCAAAGAGGAAATAGAAAGTCTAAAAGCAAAGGTATGATCATTGACAATTAATTATATAATTTAATGCATTTTAGGCCTTTTACTAATTGGTATAATGTTAATTCTATGAACTAAATGCAATTTCTCAGGAGAGACTATTGCTCCAACAAAATGCAAGTTTACGTGAAAAGGTGAACTCTCTCATATTTGTTATTTTAATTAATCAAATATAATGTGAATTCTAGAAATTTTTATATTTTAGAACACGTTTAATAACACAAATTTCAACCTTTTTTTTTTATATATACATACCAATAACATACATCGAAGAGTCATTATGATTTACATATGTTCATTTATCTTATAGGATATTCAAACTATTCCTTTTACTATATGTTACGCTAATTGTTGTATTTATGTTTTTTTTTTACATTAAAAAATATTTCTCAATCCAGTGCGGGCTTAGGCCAATGCTATCAGAGTCAGCATCTGCACCCGAACCCATACCAGCACCACCATCAACACCACCAGCTCAATCAAAAGAAAGGGGAAATTGTAGCCAAAGTACAAAGAGTTGGGAAGTGGAGACTGAATTGTTTATTGGCCTTCCTCAAACGCGCTGCTTATAGTAGCTTGGATCAGTGGTTGAGCTAGGGTTTTTTTTGGTCAAAGGAATTTAAACCTCGAAGAAGTACACAGAGAAGGCAAAATGGGTTCAATCTCTACTCTATATTACACTAAATTAAAAGATAAATTTTAACTATATATGTTATAATATTATTTTTCGCTGTAGGAAAATCAGTTAAACACCCCATCAATCCTACGTGGCTCCGCCCCGACCGGGACAATGGGACCATTTGTTCATATTTTGTTTATGGTTCTCCTCAGTTATTTAGACTAAGAGGTTAGGATTTCTCAGTTATTTACAACCATAAGGAGTTGCAAAATTCAATAAATAATACCTTACAATAAGAGTGTAATATTTGCCCCTATTTCTTTCTATTTTTCATGTATTTATAGTATACTTCCTTTCTATTTTTCAAACATTCTAAACAGCTCAATTGTTTTTGAGTGTATCACAAGTTTGTTTTTGGTTTATAATGGATTATAAAATTTATAGGTGAATTCAAAATTCAAAATTTATTGATTTTTGTAATGACTTTTCTATAATAACTAGGTGCATAATTAATTATTTATGAATACTACGTAAATTTCTTTATATATATATATATATATATATATAAGCAACATCTATACATAATATACAGAAGAATATGTAGACATATTTAATGACATTTTTTACTGTCCATTACAAATATTATTTTATTTATATCATTTTTTATATATATAGAAGATCAGTAAGTAAAATGCAACCTAAAAGATCTAAATGAAAAACAAAAAATAGTACCCAAATCTTTACAAGGACATCCATTTTAACGGTAAGTGGGCCGCACCCAACAATCTAACTCACCATATTTAGCCCAGTTGTGCTAAATTTGCCCGATTTGGTCCAATTGTTACATATTTTTTAAAGAAAAAAATTACTAGAATAACTACTTTTAATAAATAATTACTGAGTTTGGCAATATATTTTAATTATTATCATTTATAATTAATACATAACAATATTGGAGCTTTTGATTGTTATTTCTTCATTCTTCAATTTCTGTATACGGCATTTTTGTGTGGTTTCTCAGCATTGAATGTCTATTGGGTTAGGGTCGGGGGAGGGGTGTATATGATCGGGTTGGTTCGGATTTTTCAAATATCAAATTAAATCATTCGTGCAAAAATTTTAAATTTATAAATCAAATCAAACTAATAAAACTCAGATTTTTTTGGGTTTTTCAACCTCGGGTTGGTTCGGATTTTTCAAATACCAAACCAAACCATTGTATCAAATTTTTAAATTTATAAATCAAACCAAACTAAAATGCAATGGATAATATATAAGTACCCCTCAATTTATACTCGAAATCTCGACACACTTATACTATACTAAGATCCTATTACCACTGAACTTATTTTATTAATAATTTTCTATCCCTTTTCGGCCTATATGACACTACCTTGTGGGTCAATCGCTAGTTGACTTTTTCTTCCAAGGTAGTGCCACATAGGCCGAAAAAGGATAGAAAATTACTTATAAAATAAGCCCAGGAGGTAATAAATCTTATTGAAATTTTGGACTAGATTGAAGGGGATACCTGTGCATTGTCTCAAATAGAATCATTAAACATTTGATAAGCAACTTTATTATTATAATAAACGAATTTGAATTTTAAAGAAAGGAACTAACTCTATATCAAATTTGGCTAAAATGGTGAAAAGTTCTAAAAGAGAATGGCTAATAAATGTAGAAAGAGTTGCAAATCATCGATCTATAACACCGATCAACATAATCAAAATGATCCATTTGTCATTTTGTGTGATAAGAAATAGCCCCCACCCCACTTCAAACACTTTCTTTTTATTTTATTATCAAAATTTTAAACTTCAACTAATTCATATATAACTAATTCGTATATACTCGTATAAAATTTAAAAAAAAGAAAAATATTATTAATAAAAAAAAATTGTATTCATTCCATGGTGTAAGGTTAATAATTAAAATGTGGCCTACTTTTTGAATTATATGCTGACATTAAGAAAGCAATGATTCAAATGACGACAAGTTTGTTTGCCCCTCCCTATGACACCCCTTTGTAGCGGACGCTCCTCCTATATATAAATTTATTCTCTTATAATATGTCAGATATGTTATGTCTCTCTTTGTTTCTGTTTAATTTTTTTTTTAAAAAAAAGTTTTTTAAATAATGTTTAATATTTATATCGGAGTCCAATTAATACATATTCAAATATTAAATGAATTATTTTTAAAGATCACATATATTTTTCTTCATATTCAGATTCGAATGTGTCGTCTCTATTTATGATCCTGACGTTTGTTTCGATATTCATTATTATTTCCCTCTACAAGTTTCTATCCAATATACTCTCTTTAATTTTTCAAATTTTAATCTGAGTCTCTACTGGGAATCAAACTCTCAAATTTCAAAATGCAAGTAAAGATGGATCTTGCAACGTTTCTATTTTTTGTTTTCTTCTTAATTTCTTGGATTAAATAATAGGGGAAGGAAACAAGATAGATATTTCCTACTTGATAAATAGGCTTTAAAAAATAAATTTTCAAAAAGGTTGGTTACCAAAACATTTTTATTATTATTATTAGCAGCAGCAGCAGCTTGAAAAATAAAGCAAGTGATACGTCACTACTCTTTCCGTTCGGAATTAGTTGTGCTTATCGAAAGTCAATTTGATTAATTTTCAAAAGTAAATTAGATTACATTAATTTGATATTTTTAAAAAAAATCAGATATTCTAAAACTATATAAAAAGTACTATAAATTATAATTTTTTGCATATTAATATGATGAAAAAATACATCTTAAAATGTTAGTCAAACTTTTTATAATTTAACTCTAAAAATAAAAATTATCATAAATAATATCAGAGAGTATCAATTAAACAATTTGTAGTATTTAGTGGGTAATAATTACTCATGTAATTGTCGGAATTCTCATGAAGCAAGAAATTTTCACTGTCCACAGCCTAAATATATTCTGAAAAAATACATAATATTTTCTCTATAAATCCTAATGGCCATATATATCATATAGTGAAAAAACATATTTACATTTTACAATCGTAATAGTATATTTATATGTTATATATATAGGATTTGGGGAAGGACAAACTAATAATGAGCGACCCCATAACTATTTCCAATAAATTGACAATGTAAAAATTGTACTTGATGGGTAGTCGAGCAGTTGTAACAGATAATATTTCATAAGAATTAAGAAAATTTATAAATTGATTTTCAAGTCAATAACTTTTAAATTGAATTTTTTACACATGAGAGTGAGAATATATCTTATTTGCTCATAAAGAGTAGCTATTTCAAATTTTTATAAATACGTCGATCGGGTATACTATGCGTAATGATTCGCCATTCACGATAAATAAAAGGATAATTCAAAAAAATTTATTGTAATTATCAATATCATATAGAAATAGTTGTATATTTCACCTCTTTCAAATAAGGGATCAATTTTAGTTTTTGAGCATATATTCCTTTATTCGTTACTAGAAAGTAAAACAAATGAAAATATAACTTCTTATAAATAGTTTCTTGGTTGTATACAATTATCTATAAATTTTAAAAAGACATCATTAATTCATTTTTAATAATGTGAAGTATCACTTGTTTTAAAAAATAAATAAAAAAGCTCAAAACCGCCCACATATTTTAAAACGATGAAAGTAATTGAATATACATAGATTCTCTTCTGAAATGTACCCTAATGTTTAGACACGTAAATTTTTTTTTATAATAAGCTAATGTTTAGCTGTAACAAAGTTTGTAAAGATTCACGTACAAGCTTCATCTTAAAGTTTCATGTTGAATTATGATTACTTTCACATATTCCAACAAAACAAACATCCCACAGTATACATTTTACTCATCAAACGTTTGTTTGTTTTTTAATTAATATTTTACTTAATTCAAAAAAAATGGAAACGTAAATGTAACGTAAGAAATGAGTTACTCTAACCGATGAATCATTTGTTTATAGAAGGAGTTGTACAACTAACAATTTTGTGATTTGAAAAAGGGACTAATGGAGGAGTATTACTTTTTAATATCATATATGGATAAGTTAGCAAATAGCAACGCAAATTTCGAAAAATTATAAGTAGAAAGATAATGAAAAATATATCAAAAAAGCTATAAACATTATTATAATTTGACATATATCCATAAAAAGAGAAGATTGATGAGCAATACATTATATAAAAGAAAGTACACAATATCGAAAGAAATAACTCTAAATAAATTTACTCGAAATTAAAAGAGTTTTACACAAATTCCTCTCCTAAACAAAACCCCTCAAAGCCTTGCATTATTAATGTAAGTCAAATACAAAACTTTGTATTTTCTTTTAGAAAAAAGAAAAATCAATTATGATTTTAAAAAAATTAAGGGAAATTACTCAACATTATTCACACTAAACCCTTCAAAAATATCGTATAATTTAACATCGCAGCTCGATAAAGGTTCACTAAAACTCCGTTAGTGATTGATAAATTAAATTTTATAATTAAACAACAAAATTGATTGCTAATTCTATTCAGCAATATAAAAAAAAACTTGTTACCTATATACTATTTAATTAATAATGAATTAGCTATGAAGTTTCAAGTTTATAGTTGATATTTATTAATTAAATTAATTTAATTTATTTATTTGTATAGTGATTGAAATAGACAAAGAAGATGGTCCATAGATAGCTAAAAAAGATCAAATAGTGAAGACGTCAAATCTCATCCTCGTATGTCGGTAGAATTTTGTAATTTGAACGTTATGTCAAATCTAATATTAATATCACACACACACACACACATATATATATATATATATATATAAATATATATAAAAACAAAAAATATCCTAATAAGGTTCCAAATTAATTATTTATATATATACTACTGTTTTTAAGTCAAATAATTTCAAAGTTTTTTCCAGATTCAACGGATTATAGTATGAAATTTTGGAGCTTTGTGTCTGTTTCTATTTGAATTGGGCGCTTATCTAGCTTGTTCCAACCTAGATTAGGCTTTTATCATAAAGTTTTTGAATCAAGTACTAAAAAAGAAGTACAAAATATTAAAATTATGTGTTTGATACTTTCTTTTAAAATATGATTAATTATTATTCAATGTAAAAAATTGTTTTCTCTTTCGCTTTATCGTAATCATAATTAATTAAGAAAAAAACCTAAATTCATGTAGTTTCTTCTCGCGGCATAATTGATCAAGTTTCTTAATTTTTCTTTTAGCAAAAAGTTGAAAGAAGAAAAAAAAATAGCTTATATAGTTAGAGTTGTCCTTCAAAGACAATGTAGCCAATGCGATTTTGCAAATGAGATAGTTATACGTAGAGAGGTTATTTACGATCGATAAACCCTAAGTTCAGGAATAATATTTTTAAGAATAGGTTAATTAGACCAAAAAAAAGAAGTAAAAGCTATGATGAACATACCGTAGAAAAAAATACATACTGATCGCAACAAAAAAAATATACAACATTGATAGTAATACAATTAAAGAATAAATATAGAATAACAATAATAATATTGATAAATAGACGACAAAGTATAACCGGTAAAACTTATCCTCACAGGGTGTTTACACCAATCCAATATATGCATGCCATGTGTTTAATTTTATAATTTATTTTACTTAATTTTAAATAATTAACATATGTCCTACTTTACTAAATCACATAATAATAAAAATTAAATTAATATGACGTAAACACTCAATGCGAGTAAATTTTTTATAGCATAACTCTAATAATCTAGAACCACGCTCTCCTATATTAGAGGAAGAAATCACTTGACTACCTAATTATTAATTATCTATATATCTTAATCATCGACCATTATATTTTCAAAAAAATATAAGATATTATTGTGCACATCTTATACTCTTATCCAATAGTACAAGAATATCGTATGGAGCATGTTGAAGCTGCAGAGCTAATTATTCCTCAAAGGATTATAAATAGGTACCAGTAAAATTTTACACCAAAAACTATTTATTCCAGATTTGTCGTTAAAATATGAGAATTTCAATTTTAGTTTTTTGAAAATAAAATTGATATATTTAAAAAAACCATCTAGAAGATTTATAGTAGAGATTTGATTAATCTTTCTTCTTGATGATATGATTAAAGGAAGATCTAGAAGATTGTCAAATTTTTTAAATTTTATGATATTTTAATGATAAGTTTTTTTATCAAAATATTTATAAAAATTAGGTGAATGTTTTACTATGAATATAGGGTTTGAAAGAACCCATTATTTGTTGTTGAATTCATAGTAATTTCCATCCATAGGCAATTCTAAAAACATCCGCGTACAACAAATTTTATTAAGGGTATCTAAAAGTACTCTTTTATTTAATTGAACATTACTAATATCACGTTAAAGGCATAACTTATGTCAAGAGTGTCAAATTTTAAATATATATTCTTTAAATATAAAATTTGACATGTTTACGCAATACTTATGTCAAGTGTATCCAACTTTAAATATATCCTTTAAGTATAGAATTTATCATATACATACAATTTAATTTTCGACGACGAGTGCTCCTGAATTAGCTCTTAATAACTTTACAAATAATCAGATAATCTTTTTATAAGAATGTTATCAACAAACAAAATAATACTCATATAAAAAAAATTATATATACATAAAATATCTAATTTTACAAAGAGATTACATCGTCAATAAATTCGCACCGGCCCTATTATTAACACTCCTTCACTCTATTTTCAAGGCGGTGATAATTTGGAGGAGCGCAATTATGAAAGGAGTATAGAAAACAAGCACGTGGCTGTGGTCCTAAGTGGGCCTTTTGGAAGTTTATTGGTAGAAGCCCAAAGAGGCCCAGAATAAGCCCACACACATCAGTAGTCTTCGCAACTTGTGGGCCAAGGCCCATCATTGTGACAGGGACACTTTTGTCATTATAAAAGTTAGAAATTGTCGGGAATCTCACATGCAAACGTGTCAGCTTAATCTATATTCATAAATCATAATTTATTTACTATACATTTTTGTGGGATTAACGCGACAAAAATAACAAATTGATGGATTATTCATACAGAGAGGTCAAATTTAAATTATCTTAGTTTGAGAAATAGGTCACTAACGGTTTTTGAATCATGAATAAATATTAGAGGAGTAGAATCAATGTCTTGAATCATGGATAAATCTTAGAAGAGTAGAATTAATTGATCAACAGAACTGTACCTGCAATCATGTTTATTCATATTTTATTTGTGATTTTAATTTATTTTCTATCACTTTAAAATTTGTTGCAAACAATGACATGTTAAATTATGCTAAAAAAAACGTGACAAAAATATTTATCTTCCTCTCATATTTTGAATAAAATTTAGCATTAATAATAAGAAAACAATGAAAAAAGTATTCACATAAATAAATATTTATTTATATATAAAATATATATATGCCTTAGGTGTTGAAATAAAATTAACGACTAAAATATTATTCAGATTTAGACGTGAATATCTTGCTTAATTTTAAGAAAAAATAATTTTTTGTCACACATGTTAATGCAATTATCTTTCCTTTTAATCGAAATTAAAAAAAATGTTAGGCACGCCGATAATTATGATTTCTCTTTGTTACTTGACACAATTATTATGAATTTTATTCAACATGTATTTGCTTAGAAGAGAGCATTCATGGCAAACTCTACAAGTTGGAGTAAATTATATATGATTATAATGATTATATATATATATAACATGTGAAGGGGAAAAACACTATGTGGTTAATTATGAATATCATTTTAATTATTTATTTATTAATTCTCTTATTCAATTTGAAAAATTTAATAACTAGTCCGTATCTCAAGTCCCATAGTTTTGGTCCCATTTCTTGAAATTAAACTTTTTTTCAAAATAGTATAGCATTAAATATCAAGTGTACATGCATAAGATAAGTAGGTTTATTTTTTTTCCCCTCACTTTATGTAACTTTCTAAAATTTATTTTTATAAATATAATTTTATATTATTTAAGACAAGTGTAGAAATTCAATTTATTTTGTTGAATATTCTGAAAAGAACAGTGTATACTTGTTTTGATGCAGAGTACTCGAAAACTACGCCCAAGTAGACGATCTATTTAAGGTTTGGAATTTGGATTATTATTCCCAAAAAAAAATGATTTATACAGTTTGAATTTTGACAATGATAGTGTAGATTTTTTACCACACTAGATAAAAATGACAACCTACATTATTATAATTATTATAATAGGCAACTTTTAATAGTATGTCTCACATAAGTAACCTCAAAAATTATATTCATGCTAGTTGTTGTAAGAGATAAAATTCCCCTTCCCCACATAACTATCCAATAATTATTCTAAATAACTATTATTAATTGATAAGGATTATGATAAAATAATATAATTTATTGTATTTTTTTTTAAATTTAAATACAATTTGAAGTGGCTATAATCTCTGTTATAATTTTTATTCTTCAGGTGAACACTTTGTGCAGGCTATAATCTCTGTTATAATTTTTATTCTTCAGGTGAACACTTTGTGCACACTGTATAAACTCCATCATATAAATTTTATTGTATTTTGTTATTAGTATTTTGGATAAAAACAAATCCTATTATGAGCATTGTCTTCTTCTAGATAAATTTTAGACCCCGTTTTGAATAATCAAAATCTCAATACGAAATATATATTTGTACTGCACAAAATTAAAAAAAATGGTATATACAATAAATTTAAAATATACTTATCTATATCTGAATGCATAATTTAGATATTCAGAAACTTGTGAAAAACATTATAAATTATAACTTTTTGTATATTAATATAATGAAAAATATATTATAAAATGCTAGCAAAATTCTTATAATTCAACTCTAAAAATATATAAACAATTAAAAGTAGACAAAAATAAATATAATAAACAATTTATATTTCTCAGGTAACTCATAAAGTTCAAAATATAAATAAATAAATAAAAGTAAAGAAGCAAGTAGCATATGACATCCCCCATCACTTTTCTCCTCTCAGCTCCTTCCCAGATGCAATAGAATATATTTTTTAGTACATCCAATTAGTTACAATGGAAGTGTATGTTTTTAAAATTATATTGGTATCCTACATTTTTTTTCTCTCAAATTATTTCTCTATTCGTTTCAAGATGGTTGTCTTACTTTTGATTTTTTTAAAAAAAAGTTCAGTTTTTGTATTACTATTTTATTTTATTTTTTATCTGATATATTTATAATTATAAAATTAAAAGATATTTTAATACATTCTATGTATTTTAAATTTAAAATTACATTCAAAAGTTTTTTTTCCAATTTTATATCAAGTCAAAATCACAAAAATAAATTAAAACGAAAAGAGTTTTATATACTGCCTTCATTTCATTTTAGTACTCCGCCCAATAATAAATATTCATTATCCTATTTCGGGATAAGACTTGTCGTCTTTATGAAATTAATGAATACTTTTTTATTATATTTTTCAAGATAATATAATTATTAGGAAAAATCATTTTGACCAGAATGATGAAATAACATATTTCACATTATGTTATTTTACCTTTTAAACATTTTTATTCTTTTAACTTTAATACATGTCAATTAAAAATGAAAAAAAATCAATTTATTTTAAAATAATAAAAATATTATATACTTTCTAAATTTTTGACCAAATTCTTTTGTCCATTTAGCATTAATCTATTTATTAATATTTAAAAAAGGTGATATAATAAATCACCCTTCTATTTATAATTTAGTACTACGTACCTCCGTCCCATTTTTATATGTCATCTTACGAATTTCAAGAGTCAAACAAGTCTAATCTTTGATCTTAAATTTTTCATAGATCGTATAAACATTTTGAATTATCAATAATTGTGATTAGTAATACTTTTTAATACATAAATTTCATTTAAAAAGATTGAAGATTTCATGTACAATATTTTTTATCAAACTTAAATTATTTAACTCTTAAAACATAAAATATATCATATAAATTGAGACTAAAGGAAACAAGTAAAAAGCAAATAAAATCAATAGTAGACAAATATCGTAAGAACTTAAAGATATGAGGTTATGTTAACCATGGTTAAAAGAAAAAGAGGGATAAAATATAATTTAGATCTTTACGCTACGAGATTTATGCGCGATAAATAAAGTAGGTCATAATTTTGAAAAAGAAAAAGAAAGAGGGAGTTTACTCTATTAGATTAGATGCAGATCCCCAATAAACCTCGGGTATTTAAAACCCCACAAAGCGCAACTGAAGAATAGTGGCCATTGCCTCGTTATACCGCATATCGTTCTCTTCACCCAATACTACTACTACTCCTCCATAGAGAGAGATTTTGAATTTCTATTCCCAAGAGTAGATAGAGTTTAGTTTTTTTTTTTTTCTTGGTCTTTGGTCTTCTCTCCTCCTGCTCTATTTCTTTGCTTGGGAGTGAGTGACTACTGCAAACCCCCTCTTACAAAGCATTTTTTTTCAATCCACCAGGTATATACTCAAATCTCATCCCTTTCATGGATCCGCATTTTCCGCTCTAGTATTGTCATTTTTATTCTTATTACTCGTTGTGTATCCAGCTTCTTTTTTTTTTGAAAAACAAAATGGGCAGAGAGTGGTTATACTGGGGCAGTGGGAGTGGTAAATCCAGTAGCAGAAGAAAAACAAAAGGAGAAGAACAAGTCATGAATAATATTATTAATGATGAAGCTGCGGCACCTTCTCCGGCTGGTTGCATGTGTTTCCAAATCTTCGATTTACCCCATTTTCAAGTAGCTTTGAACCAACAATCTCGCTCTCTCAAGCAACATCATCATCATCCTTCTTTCTTTCAACATCACAAAGACCCTTCTCTACTCAAAGGTATACATCGTTACTACCGAATCTAGAAATTTTGACTATATTCATGCTTTTTCTGTTTCTCTAGTTTTTTTTGTTTTCTTTTAAGTTGATTAATCTCAACTTTTATCGATAAATAAATCAATTCAGGAGTTGAAGCACCAAGAAACAGCTTGGAGTTAGATGAGGCTGTTCCGGAACGGAAATCAGTATCAAGTTCATTGTCATCTTCATCAACCATGAAAGTGGACGAACAAAATTTGAATATCCCGGTTAGTCTAATTGTAACCGTTACCTTCATTATCTTCTTTAAAAATATTATTATAATAAGCTTTTCACTTCCCAATGTTGTAGTGAGAGAGAGAAGATACTTTATTTTTTTTTTAATTTTTGTAATTCATTCATGTTCAGTTGAGGCAAATTTTTATTTTATTTGAAAATAGAGATATAATTATATTTCAGGTAGGTATTCAAATCAGAACAAGCTGTGATTCGAGATCACCGCGAGTGTCAACATCAGGATCAAGAACAAGGACAGATTATGGTATATCATCAGAATGTAGCAGCAGCTCACCGGCGGGGACCAAGACCCCAACACTCGTAGCTAGGCTAATGGGCCTTGATCTCCTCCCTGAAAACAATAACTCACCTCGCATTTCAATTTCAACGCATTGCAATACAAAGTCACAGTCAAAGAATGTGTTGGTTAACAATAACAGCAGTAAAAACAGAAGACGATTCAGTAGCTTTGAAAGTAGTGATATCGCTACAGGTACTCTGTCACTACCAGAGACCCCGAGAATATCTTTAGCAAGAAGGTCAGATGTAGATCATCATCATCATCGCCACCAGCATCACAGGTTATCTCTTCAAATTAATAAAGAGAACATGGGTGACGCATTTGAATTTTCAGATTCTTCGTCTACTGCGAAAATGGGGAGGAACAGTAGGAGGAGTTTTCATCAACAAGAGAATGATAACCAAACGAGAAGTCCAGGGTACTATGCTAGGCAGATTGTGAAGCAAGTTAAAGAAAGTGTCAGCAGCAGAAAAGTTGGTCATGACATTACCAACACGAGTAGTAGTATAAGGAGAAAAGATAATCAATTAGCTGCTACATATGATCAAGTTGTGTTGCTCAAACCAAAAAAACCATCCAATGGAAATGACGATGATTTTCCATCAAGCAAACAAACAACTCCCTCTTGCTCACCTAGGTTCAGATTCTTGGAACCCAAGAGTACTAGTGCTAAACATCAAACTTCTCATTCACCCAAGTTTTCCCCATTATCTCCGCTTTCAGAGACTACCACATTATCATTACCTGCAAAAATTGTCACTAAGCCTAAGCCTCAAAGTTCGCCAAAAGTCCAAGTGCAACAAAGAAAGTGCGACAAATTTGTTCCAAAGAAGCCACCGCAAGCTTGCGATGCCATTCGGAGCAAGAAAGAAGAGCTATTTGTTCGTTCAGCAGCAGCAACAAATAAAGCAAATTTCTCAGAGAAGAAATGCAAGCTGAAAACTCCATTGTCAAATCAACTTGTTAACACCAGTACTGTTCCAACTATTTTGCCATTAAAGAAAGACCCTTCTCCTCCAACCACCAAGTTACTCATCAAGCAGGTACTAAATTAATATTAATCTTCTTTACTTCAATATCAAGTATTCTCTCTGTTCCAATTTTAAGCCAGATTTTCAAAATGTACAGTAGTTAAATTTGTACGTAAATTATTCTTTGTAAATTTGGTTGTCATGTTTGTTTGTGCGACAGTCTCAGGAATCAGATACTTATCCATCGAAAAGGCGCAGTAGCAGCAGCAGCAGAGAGTTATCTAGTAGTTCGAGCCATAATTCGTACTACTACAAACTCACCACCCTCCAAGAAAACCGCGACAAATGTAACGGTGCTATTTCCATTGATGGGCTCAATTTTCATCACCAGTACATTCAGAGAATACTAAAACGTACGGGTCTCGACAAAAGTAGTCCAATCTCTTTAGCCAAATGGTACTCCCCTTCTCACCCACTAGACCCCTCCATTTTCCACTACTTGGAACTTTTCAATTCCACCACACATAATTCCACCCTCAGATCCAATCGAAAGTTGATCTTCCACCTCGTCGACGAGCTCCTCGTCGATATCTTGATCAAAAACAACAATCTCAAGCATCGATCGATGAACGGGGAGGGACTGATTGACGCATTGTGCTCGAAAATACAAGATTTTCCCTCAGCTAATTGTCAAGTTCTTGAAGATATTGATGCTTTGATAGAGAGAGATATGAAAATTGGTGGAAGTGTGTTTTTTGAGGAAGAAGTGGAAAGTATAGTGTGTGAGATTGAACGTGAGATTATGGAAGAAGTGTTGCATGATGATGGTGCTGTGTAATGATGTAGAAAAAACGAACAAGGTCTGACTTGGGTCACATGGGTAATTCACGTGATGAGATGCCAATTCATTTTTTAAGGGTCAGGGGACCAATATAAATTGACTCGTTCTACTTGGAAAAAAAGTAAATGAAGTGTAGTGATTAAAACTAAAATAATAGGAGTTGTTGCTTTTTTTTACTTTTTTCTCTAATGTAAATTACTATTACTATATCTCAATAAACAACTCATTAATTTGCTTTTATTACAATCTTCTATAGTGGTTAGTCACATCCTATATTACCTCATGACTGTTATATGAGTTTTTTATTTTATTTAATATGAATATAAAATTTAGATTAAAAGTGTTGATTCTGTTGAATATATGTATAAAATAATGAAAAGCTTACAGTGTCAAGTGGAAATCCTTTTTAAATTGTTCAAAAAATTGTTTTGACAGTAAAATATAGTTTAAATTCAAAATGTTTCAAACTGTCATGTTGTTCAAATTCCAATGACCTACAAGTTTCACCAGATCTTTATCAGTTGCAAATTTGTTATTCCTTATTCAAATATGATTTTCTTGAACGATAATCTTTCGAGAAAAAAATTAATACAGAAATTCTTATGAAAAATATTTTTTTTCGATTAAAAAGGGATAAAACATAAATACACGCTAAAAGAACAAAAAAAACCCAGACGATTTAGTCCAAATATTAAACGTTATAATGGGACCATATGAGGTTGATAGTTACTCCCTACCTCCGTTCCAAAATAATCCTTTAATTTTTCGAAAGTTAAATTTGATTAATATTAATTTGATATTTAAAAATTTAAATATTTCATTAGGGGGGCCTCATTAGGAGAGTTGCATGGTACAATAGATAATTTTGAAGACAAAAATAACAAGACAAGGAGTAAAAGGTTACGTCATTACTTTTGGTAAAGCCACTCACTTTTGCATCAAAAAGAGAAATCAAATCATAAATCATTATGATATGATTCTTAATCTTTTTTTATGGAAAGATGAGCTTAAAGTTTCTCATAATAACACAACAATTAAGCTACTACAACTAATATGTACAAGTTCAATTCATTAATTAGTATAAAATTAGTATAAGAAAAAAACCTAATACTACTAATTAAGATGTATATCAGAATATTTCAAGACATCATATTGATAAATCACGTATTTTCATATTCTTTTAAAAAACTTTCAAATATACATAATTTTATAAAGGAGTAACCTTTTTCAAGTCGTATGCAATCTTTACAAAATATAAAGCTATGAGTCGAAGTTTTACATTTAAAAAATTTAGAAATCTCGAATAGTTCTCTTTTTTTTTGAAAATTTAAAATTAAAATCATAATTCGGAATTTTATTTTTATATACTGATTTTAAATAAGAACTTGTACTGTAGGTCAAAACACAAACACAGTTTTTACTTTAAAGTTCACTTTGTGTTTGCTTTCCCTAAAAAAAAAAAAGGTAGTACGTAAAATTTTCTTTTAATACGGTATTTTATAATTAAAAATGTGCTTTTGAATTACAAAAAGTTGAAATCTTTATAAACTTTAATTTCATCTACACTTTCTTGCTCACTTCACCGAAACACAATATACTTTTACTTTCACTTTGACAACTTTTTAGAATAGTTTTTTCTAGTGAAGGTTCTCTTTTATTTATTATATATATATATATATATATATATATATGTTTATTCTAGAAAAGATTTACTACAAAAAGGGTAGGGTAATTGTTTGCTTTTAAGATGGTGTGTCAGTGTTATTTGATATTCGGTATGCACATTAAAACTTAAACTAAACTGGAATTAGTATCAAAAAGTTATCGTGTTATCAAATTAAGGCGACTCCATATCCAGAATGATTCAAATTCAAGACGAAACTAAAAAGAAGTACTTACTAATTAATCCACCAAAGTGTTTCTCGAATTATTAGAACTCCTATAATTTTTTGTGAAGATGCAATTTTTCTTTCAAAAATATTTCCCCTAAAAACTTTTGCCACAAAAGTACAAACACCCAAGCAAACTTTAGTGTACCTAAATAGAGATGTGATAGCAGAAAACAATAAATTTTTACACTAATTATGTCCTCAAGGACCTGATATTTGACCCACACACATAGTCCTAGCCTTGCCAAAAGAGAACAGAAAGAAAATTTAAATAACAAAAAAAAAAAAAAAGCTTTTTGTTTTTTCATCAACTATCTCTGTCAATTTTTATTTTTTTTTTTGGCTAAATCTGTCAAAAGTGAAAAGAAATTGCTCATCATACTATAGAAGAAAATTTCTTCCTGAAATAGGTCCAATTCAGCAGTACACTCATCTTTCTTTCAAAATGAAATTCCTCAATCAACCACTACAAGCCAATTCTATATACTTTCTTGTCCTTGTTCTTAAAAAAAAAAAAATTGTGATTACTTTAAGGTTTTCTTTTTCTCCTCCTTTTCTAACTTTTTCCAAATTGCTATCTCCCTTGCCTCAGTTTTCAAAAAAGGAATTTAACTTATAACATGTATGGTATTAGAGGTGTACAAGATCGATCGAAAAATTAAATTAAATCGTAAATTGAGTTAAATTAAAAAAAAAAATTCAATTAGTGATTTGGTTTGGTGTTGAAAATTTTTTTTGATTATATTTGGATTAGGTTGGTTTCAACTAAAAAAAATCAATCCGAGACCAAATCAACCCGACATTATATATATAATTTTTTAAAAAAAATTTATGCGTAAAAATACTTACTTTGATATAATTTTTAAATATCGCTTATACTTTTTCATAATTTCTATCTTTTAATATATTTATTTTATGTTTGGAAGTTAAAATTCTTAATAATCTAATAAAGATTATAGTCCATACATGTTGGTAATTATAAAAAAGTTTAAATAAAAATCAAATTAATACTAATGCAAAAAGAAAATCAATTCAACACTACAAATGACAATAATATTGAACATTTGTTTTTAGATTTACATAGATTTAGACATTAAAATACATGATCTAATATTACTTTCTTTTAATATTTAGTCATGTAACTCTTACTTACTAAACTTATTTTTAGCATGATTTAGTACTTTAAATTATGATCAATTTCATTATGACTTATTAATTTTTGCAATATTTGTTTTACGCGATTTATTATTATTATTTTATTGGATATTTTATGGTCATTAATCATATCATATTTTTTGTTATTTACTTGAGAAAACACCTTAGATAGTTGCATTTTGATAGAACTGAAGAAATATTTGAAGTTCTATGAATAATCAATCAAAAAAACCCCAAAAATTCGAAAAAAACCCTAAAAAATCCAAAGTTGCATAATCCGAATTTTATTCGTTTAGTTTGATTTATAAATTTAAAAATCGGACACAAATAATTTGATTTGATATTTAAAAAATTCGAACCAATTCGATTATATATACGCCTATATAATATATAAAGATGAATTCAGAATTTAAAAAAGAATGTACCGTTGTTTTTTAAGATAAGAACGAAATATCAATTTGACATTAATTATGATGGTGATTTAAGAAACAATATGTACAATTTAACTTATCAAAGGTGTAGCATAAGTGAGATTAAAATTAGCTTTCAATCAGTCTACCAGTCAATCCTTTTCAATTATGAATAATAATAATAATAAATATATTTTTTGAATTATACTAATAATAACATATCGAATTTACCCGAATAATCTGTTTTCACGTGACATTTTTTCATGTGAAAATTCGTCCCTATGTGCTCACACCCCACACTCATAATAAACAAATAGTACCAAAAAGGAATTTATTTGACATTTTTGAGTTTCAGTTTTGGCGAAGACTCCAAAGAGGGTATTTTACGCAATAAATTTGAGTTATGTATGACCATCTTTTCCCCTTTCTAAATGAAGACAAATATAAAAGACGAAATCAGCAGTCAATATAATCGCATAACTATAGTTAATGGTTATGATATAGTGATAACACTATTTCACTCTTAATTAAAAATTATAATATATATAAAAAATAATCTTGTGAAAAACATTATCCTTAAACGAGCACTTTAGCGTGAAATTCAACTTTAATCGAGTAATCTGGACTAAACCAGAAAATCTATAACCAACCTAACTACATTTTTCAAAAAATTATTTATGAAGTGCACTACCAGGTGTCAGTATAATGAGCTGATACATAATAAATATTCTACCAAGTACCTTTTCAACTATTAATTTTGAAAATCACAACGGTTTTTTATTATTGAATGCTGAATATATTATTTACACACGTATAGAATTTGCCAAAAATAATTAAGTTTTACCAAACATATAACTTCAATTGACTCTAGATTTGCCCGTAGGAAATAATCTCACATGTGTATTTACTATTTGAGTAAAATATTATGTTTACAAGGATCTCATATGTTTATTTTACAAACTATATTATTAAATCATTTAATTTGATATTTACGTACTTTAATTTTAAATACACAAAAAAAAACTTAAACTATAAATAAATAAATACAAGGATCTCCTAGGTTCACTCTCCTTCTGTAATTCAAAATGAAATGTTTCATCCCACCTCTCTGCGCTATCAAATGATCACTAACAATTAAATAAATTAAAGTTTCTGGAAAATTTATATACTATCAGATAAGGATACATTTTCTAGGTTATAATTGTAACCTTCCTTCTAAATTTAGTGTTCTTTTTTCTTTTTAAGTTCATATCTTGGTTGAAACAATTTGTTTTTATCAATAATTTTTTTGTAAAAAGTTGATCAATAATATACTCTCTTTATTAACTTTTAATTGTCATTGTACATTTGAAAGTTAATTTTTAAAGTTAAATTAGATTATATTATTTCGATATTTTAAGCAAAAAAATTATATATTCAAAAACTATATGAAAAATACTATAAATTATAATTATGACATATCAATATGATTAAAAATGTTAGTCAAAATCCCTTTAGCTTAATTAAAAACAAAAAAAAATCATGACAATCAAAAGTGAACTCAGGTACGTATTTGTTGAGTAAACTTTCTTCCCCTTAAAAAATATATTTAAGGAAAAATTAATTTTCTTAGCTTCTAGTCTTAAGAAACATTTATTTTCTCTCAAAAACTGACTTTCTCACCCTGCTAACTTGGCCAAACAGGCCAAAAAATTAAAAAAAAATCCAACCTTACCAGAAACTCCACTTCATACCCAAACTTATTTACTACACAAGTAGTGACTAGTGACACAGATCCTAGCTCAGTCAACCAACAAATCTCTAATTCACAAAGTAATTAAAATGACCTCTTTATTTGAACCTAATTAATTCTTTCAGTGAACGTTAGAGCACTAATGATTCCTCATCAAACAATTATTAATCAAATTTTGGATAAAGACGTTGGGAGATTAGAGAAACCTTAAACAACTGCACTAATAACCGTCTAATTAAATGCAAAATGCAGATGGCAGAAGTGGCTCATTGAATTGGAGGCACATGGTGGTGTGGATGAGACTGCACGAACACTAATCAAACATCTCAAATTTGAATTCATTTTTTTAAAGAAGGAGCATTATCGTACACCAGATTAAAAAAAAAAGAATTAGAGGCACATGGCAAATATATATATTTTTTCATACCTGTATCTATGGCTTTAGGCTCAATTTAATGAGATAGTTTTGGAGAAACAGTTGCAGTTTAAAGTTTTTTTTCAGTAATGATGTTGAAATATTTGCAGAGCAGAGAACAGGCACTACTGTTAGGGAGGCCAAAAAACGTGAGTTGCGGGAGATTGGCAGCCACCATCATAATCGGCAGCAACAGAAGCTAAGATTGTAGATAAAAAAGGACAATCTTATTTATTGTATTATAAAGCATTAACTATTTCTATTTTCTAGTGCTACAGTAATTGATGGGTGAATTTGAATTCTGAGGTACCATCACTGAAATATTATTATGAAATTTATCTACCAAAACTATACTGAGGTACCATCACTGAAATATTATTATGAAATTTAGCTAGCAAAACTATGTATTCCCTCCGATTTTTTTTATATATCATCCCTTTCTATAAATAATTGAATCACAATACTTGTCATTTTGTAAATTTATGTATAAATTAGCATATTTTGCCTACTATATTCTTGATCGAATAGTTAATTGATCTTGAAAAAGCATTCATCATTTATTATATTAACTTAAAAAACATTAAATAAGGATAGAAAGATAAAGTTACATTATTTCTTAATGCAAATATAAATTAAAAATTAACATATAAAATAAGACAAAGAAATTAGTATTTTTTTTTAATTTCTCACCCAGTGTATGGACTAATTAACACATATGTTAGTAAAGATACTTCCTTTTCATTCCAAAATGAGTGTCGCTTTTGTAAAAATATAGTCTAAAAATAAATGTCGTCTTATAAATTCAATACACATAATTTTTCTAACTATACCCTTACATTAAAGAACTAAAATCTTAATAGTGTAGTGCTCAATTCTAAAAAAAGAAAAAATCTAATAAAAAGGGAATTTTAGTGATAACACTTATTTTGCTACCTAGATAATAGTTATCTAAATTATCATTTCTCTCTCTTACGTGTCTTAATTAGTACTCCCTCCGTTCCTATTAAATCTCATCTTTGAGTTGTTTCACACTCTTTAAGAAAAGTGGATTAGGGTATAAATTGAACATAATTTTTCATTTTTACCCTTATTAATTGTTGTAAAAAATAACTAAACTTTAATTATAATAGCTAATCCCAATACTAACTTAAAGAATAAAATTAGAAGAATATTTTAAAAATTAAAAACTTAAGTTAATTTGAAAAATGAAAAAGGACTGAAAGCTTAAGATAATGGAGGGAGTGACCCTCAACTGAATTCAGCAAGTAATAGTGTCTTTCTTTTTTTGAAACGTCAAAACTTTTTGAAATAAACACTGTTATGAAATGGAGGTAATGAAGCTTAATCCTAATTTTTCTGCCCTGCCAGTAAGAAATCGTAAAAAGACTGCCTTGTGACAAAGATCAACAAATATTAGCAAAAGCAAACATCTATTTACAAGAGTCAAGAAATGAACCCTACTGAGAACCATCACTGCAAGAAATTAGAAAACAAGTCGTCCGTCCAAAAGCAAACTTCAAACACCAAAAACAAAATGTTGTTACCATCAGGCCAAACATTTGACTTTTGTTAATGTATATGCTCAGCTTCTACTCTAGTCGTACCACATGAATTTACTAGTTAAGGTACTATTATGTAAATGCACAAACCAACCCAACCCAAATAAGACAAAGTTTACTGTCACATCCAACTAACATCTGACTGGGATCACTAAATTACTAGACTGGAGAACTGCCTGAAACGTCATTAAGCATTGGTCTGTGTCCACTCTTCATATGAGTCATAACACCACTTGGGTATTAGAAAACAGTGGGCTTGACTATAAGTTACCCGGAATAAGGACTAATCAGTTTACTCAAGATATGGACTTCAAGATTCATATTTAGCCTTTATCTTGGAAATGCAAGGTTCACCTAGAGTCAGGTTAAGTTTTCTTACCAAATCGTTTCCACCATGGTATACCAATCTAGGAATTCAATAACTAGCTTACACAAATAGTAACTAAATTGACGAGATTTTACCTCACAAGCTGCAGAACAGAAACAAAAACAATGCAATGTACTTGCACGTGACCACTATAATAAATGGGACAAGGACAGCTGCAGCAGGAGTGGGTAGCAACAGAGCCTTGTCATGCATTGATATTCTTAAACAAAAAACTACACTATAGTGTAATATCATAGTACCACCATTACCTAAAAAAGAAAAGAATTGATAGCTCAAAATCAATAGAAAACAAGGAGAAGAAATTTGTTGTGGCATGACCAAAGCATAATCTTACTTATCAGCTACTAACGGCATATTATAGAGTCTTACTAGCAGTCTTATTTGACACCTTCATATAATCAAGCCTCTACTGGCGAACAAGCTGAGCAGTTCTTCTAGCTAGTGTCACATGATTTTTCCAAGTATAACTGTATCCGTAGATAATGAGCTACGAACAAGAGTGACATCTAAAAGTTTATATTATTCATCTCGGGAACCATGTTCACAAGGATGGCCCTTCTGTACCACTTGACTCAACCAGTTTAGTCCTTAAACAAACTGCACTTGAAATCACAATCTAGCTCAGCAAAGCTCGACTAGACTCATTCAGTCATGAACATGGCCTCCAATCTTTTTCCTCTGCAAGCATAAAAAATGTCACTTACTCTCTAACCAAAGGTTTCCAATTCCCAACAACCCTTAAGGACCCATTGTTTTTATTTTTTTCCAACAAAACTAAAGCACTTCAATTCTGGAATCAATTATTTTGGTTTTGAAAACAAAAAGAAGGTTGTGATAGTTTCTGGAAACCAAAACATCGATTTCCTGAGACAATTGAAGAAAGCCAAGGATGTTTTCTCAAGAAAATAAATTGTGGCACTATTGCATGTGACCGGAGGCCGATTCAGGATTTGGAGGTTGCGGGCATCACTATTTTATGTATGCAATACATAGACGATGGGTCGGGTCAATTAATTTTGGATTAACTGGATTAGCTCTTCTATTCGTACATAGACAAATAAGTTTTGTCTGATTCAGCTTTTATTTACACCTGATTTAAATATTTAAGTTCTAGAGTAGAAGAAAATTGCAAAAACCAAACTCATGAAAGAGTGCATCCACTTAGATAATTTGCTAAAAATATAGCTTAATTTTGGCTTAGATTATTTTACCTTAAACTTAATTATCAAGTTAGCAAAACAAAATGCTTCATATTTTCAATCTATGAGAGAATCAACCCAACACGTCTGGTAAACAAACTGTTTTGATCTTTCAAAAGTTAACCAAAAAAAAATACTGTTCAAACTATATATCCTGTTGCGTCATCAGAAAGAGAACTCAAATTATATTCCAAGATATATCAATGTAGCGTCATCAAAAGGACAAAAAATTATTTGTTGGATAAAATAATTCATATTTACTTGTCAAAAGAAGCTTCTTATGAAGTAACCTTAACTGTAGAAACAAAATATGGTTGGTATAAATAAATTAAAAAGAAAATATGATGAAGAAGTAGGAGAAATTGGAGAAGTTTTTTAAGCAGCAATAATGGAGAATTAAAAGAACAAGAAGAGGAAAGTGAGGTGAGGGCCTAGAAGTTGGTGATAAAATCAGTTAATTACTTGAATGCCTGCACTGGGAATCGAATTCAGAACATAAAGAAATGAAGAGCCTTGAGTCCTTAACAGACTACATGAATCAGTGGCACCCAGAGCTGCTTATATTACAGGTTCCATTTAATATACTTGTATGTTTTTTCACAAATATTTACAAACATATAAGAATGCCTACAAGAAAAAGGTGGCAGAAAGCGCTCTTGAAGCATTTGGAACTTGCTTCTCTATTTAATCAACATGGTAATCTCAGATTGAACATGTAGAACTCGTGTAAATTTTGGACTGGAGCTTAGACAAACTCAAGGACAAGTTCATAGATGAGCTCAATATTAACTGGCCTCATGCATGCACTAGAACTGAATCGACTTCGTAAAAATTTATTTACCCAATCGAATTCAACTCCTGCCTCGCGTAACAAATACCCAAACTGAGTTTGTATCTCCAGAGCTCAGCTCATCTTAACTCTATATTCAACCCCAAATGTCTTACAATTTTACTTGACCAGAAGATGCAATTATTATATATAAGTTGCATCTATTAAATGAAATCATGGACTGCATGTAGTAATAATACAAAACAATAAAGAGAAAAATGAGAAGATAAAAGTAACAATCACCTTCATTAAATTGAATGACTACTCCATACATATTACCGCTTCTTTGCTTTTGCATGCCATATAGGTGCATATGTCCTAATAACAGGACTTATTCAGGCATGCTACAAATATCCATGCGAGATATATTTTAACCAAAATGTATGCAATAATCAGACATATTTTACCATAATATACTCAAAAATCTCGAGTCATGAATTTCTATAAATGTCTTGTTTGCATACATTTACCAATGTATTTGCTACATGATTATTAGATTAAAAAATCATCTGGTTCTTTTTATCTAAAAGTACATTGCAGATGGTGTTCTGTGGTTTATACTTCCTAACAAAGTTGAGTAAATTAAAATACTGAAATATCAGTGACTAAGAGCTGTATGCATCAGTTAACCCCCTTTCAAGCCCAATTTGAAGGACATCTATCACCTATATCATGAGTGATACTACTCTAGTAATCTAGAGGGGAAGTCAAGTTCTGTCTCATCCACACTAACCAAGAAAAAGTCGACCCCAAATGAGATTAAGTTGCAACATTCTTCAAATCATTAATCTCCTCTTCCTCTCCCATCCGATTGTCGGGACTAACTATTCAAATCTTCTCTTTGTCTTTCTTATCCAGGAAGTTAGACTTCCAAAATGGCTGAACTAGGTCGAGAACAAACTAGAAAATTAGACTTCCAAAATGGCTGAACTAGGTCGAGAACAAACTAGAAAATTAGACTTCCAAAATGGCTGAACTAGGTCGAGAACAAACTAGAAAATTTCTTAAACAAAAGGGACTTAGCTGTTATCTTTCCCAACAAAAAAGGGGGGGGGGGGGAGGTTTTGATAAAATCCAACCAGAAAGATTTATTAGATTGGTTATTCGCCGGCCTATTGCAAAAAGAGCCTTAAATATTACTATATTACGTGCGAGTGAGGTCTTTCCCGACAAATACTGGGATTTCAGACTTGAATTCTTTCTGGGCATCACTTGCCTTCGAGAATGTCCGTATATTTTTAAAAACAATGTAGAATAATAACATGATTCACCTACCCTGTACAGAGGATATCGACTGCCTTTCGGCTTTCTGTCGTCTTTGAGTGTAGTGTTGTCCCAGCAATGTTATAACTCAAGGTATTAGTTATAGGATGTCAAGAAATGTTTCCGAATTGAATATGTGTATCATCATTTTACAAACAGCACATAATAGAAGGGAGTAAAGATAGTTTACTTCAAAGCTTGTACTAGACATTATACCAATTAAGATCAGCAAGTGTACCTTTTAAATCGAAACTGAACTGGATCAACTTCTACCATCCACATCAAACCCAGCCCCTGTCCAACCAGGTGGTGCTGCACCTCTACTTTTAGGTATTATGCCAATTCCCTTCCCTCTTCCTTGGGCATTAATTTTCTTCTTCCCTCTTGCTTCACGTTGTTGGTTTTGTCCATTTTCTGCTGCAGTGTTTCCAGTGTTTCCTTCTTTAAATGTAGTTTCAGATGATCCATTTAATGATTCCTGTGAACCTTGAACTGAGGGAACATCTCGATTCATACTGCTCGGTGCAGGTCCCACGGAATTCAGATCCTAAGAACATTTTGGGCCATCAGTTTTATGCAGCTCTGGTTAGGAAGCATTATTAAGCAGATAACACGAGAAGCATCATATCATCCAGATTTTCAGGGCCACTTTTAGTCTTGTAGCTCCAAAAACAAAGATCATGGAAGGAGCAAAAAGAAGCACAAGGAACTATGGTAGTTTTATCTTGAAGTATAAAGATTTCAATCAAACAGTTGGGGGATTGTTTCAGCTTCTAGTTTTGGCTACAGGGTCGTAGTATGTTATCTGGCCTACATTGTGCTCATTCTCCCTCAACATTGTCATCCCTCTTGCAAGGGAGTGTTTAAATGGCTTAAAGCATTGATCAAATTGGGGCATTCTGGGGACTGTTTTTCTACGCACAAGCTAATCCAATCTCATAGTCCATCCAACTTGCCCAGCTTGGGAACTCTGTCCTTCAAGCCCAAATAAGTTGGACTTGGTTCAATGAATCTTGAGTGCTGCCAAGTAGCTTTCTTCAGGTTTAAAAATAAATACTGCTTTCACAGAGTAACCACCTATGACAAGGTTCATCAAGAAACAAAGAAGCAGCAGAAGCTTTGACAAAAACCAAGAAGAACCAACTCATAATTCTCTACATTCAGTTGAAAAATACATCAGTTTTTATAAGCAACGAGAAAATCAAGTAAAAGAATTTGGCTCCAGTCCAAAATTTACACTTGTTCTACATGTTCAATCTAAGATTACCATATTGATTAAATAGAGAAGCAAGTTCCAAATGCTTGAAGAACTCGCCTCTGCCACCTTTTTCTTGTAGGCATTCTTATATTGAATCAGCACGTTGGCTGCCACATATACTAATCTTGTTGCTTGTTACTGGGCTCTTAAATTAGTCGAAGACTTTGAGTTACTAAGAGGATCATAGAAGGTCAAGAACATCATCAGCTCCTCAATTTACACACATCTAAAAGGAGATAAAATACAACAGCGTAAAAGGTGACATCATACTGCTAACAGAACTAGTAGCCATCTAGAAAATAAGTAGGAGAAATACAGTGCAAGTGAACTCCTCATAAAGATTCCCAATTAAGTATTTCTTACCAAGGCAGAAGATGTGGATGCTCTGCTCGGATTTAAAGCTTCCAGCTTCCTTTTCAGTTCCTCCAATCTAGCCAGCTGAGTGTTGCTACTTTCACGAACCTATAAAAGTAACGATGCTTGAAACGATTCACACAATCTAACACTGTAAATGAAAACAAGAAACATACAAAAGCAAAATACCAGATTATTCAAGTCCTCGCAAAGCTTTTGCTTGAAATCCTCCTCATTCTTAACAGCTTTTAATGCTGCTTCCCATGCCTAGAGATAAAATCAGATAAGAAGAAGCAAATCACATACCAATTTTAGAAGTCCATTACAATTTCCTTTAAGTAACAGATCTAATGCTCGTCTTCCATCTCTCCCTTTAGTATTTTTCCCTTTTTATGTGTTGTTATGTTTTTCCCTTCTTTTCTTTATTTCTTTTTGATTGGTGAAATTACATTCAGGAGAAAGGCTGCTACTATGGAAGCAAAATCATTGCAAGAGATGAAAACAAGCAAATACTTGTTAGACTCACTGTAAGCTGAAATGTAGGAAACTGAGAGGAGGATAACGCCTTCTCTAGGTCATCACTAAGACAGGAAAGTACAGGATATGAAGTAGCCTCAGAACAGACTTCACTCGACACTCATTATCCTATATCTGATCTTCTTGGGAATGAATAACTAGTTATTTATAGAGGATACTATCATCTATTGCTCACAGTACCGGTTTGCAGCCTGGTTTTTTCCTCTGCAAACACCCATGAAGTTCAAGGAAGGAACCAAGATTTGAGAAGGAACAAAAAGGAAACAACATATAGTGGTTTCCTCCTGACCTTGTCGACAGACCATAGCTTTCTATGAAAGAATAGGCAAAACAAATTATGCCAAACCAACAAAAAGTGGCATTTTATCTGAATGTTATCCAAAATAATTTGAAAATCCATAGTCAATGGGTGATAATTAAAGAGACAGATGGCAGGATTTGTTAGTTGGTTAGGTAGTCACTGGAGGCTCTACAAAGCGCGTTATCTTGAGGAGATAGGGAATGATGAGATAAAGGGAGAGATGTTGCAAGTGCTAAGTATGTGTTCACCCTCAAACTGGAAGTTGAAACAAAGCTGTAAAATACCCAGTCATCGTCATGCGTTATCTTGCTAGTTCCCTGACCTTTTAGGAAAAGGAATAGAAGAATCCAGCACTAAAAAAGCTTTTAGAAACCCTTTATAAAAAAAAAAAGCTTTTAGAAACAAAAAGTCACTTTTGATTAAAATGCAAGCTTGAAAAGGAAAGGACTAAAATGCAAGTAATTTAAAAATGCCAAGGCACCATTTTTTTTGCTTCTTCCCCGACTTCTCTTGAGAAAGAACATGAAATCTCCACATAGTAACGTTTTTCAAAATCAAAAAGTAGTTTTGATACAAACCCAACTTTACACATTTGGGTAAGTGTCAAATATCAGCTAATCTTTAAATGACTTTTTCTCAAAATGGAATTTCGGAAGACTTGTAATTTGTGTTTGGCTAAAGCTTTTAAGAAACACTTTTATCAAATAAACAGGTTGGTGTTTTGTTAATATATCTTAAAAGTTCTTTTGAGTGTTAAATATGAAAAACAGAAAACAGAGAGGTAAGGATTCAATCAGTATTATTTTTAAATAGATAAAAGATTGTAAAACCAAAAAGAATATAGAGAGGAGATAAACCTTCCGTGCTTGTTCTTCCTTCTGCTTAGCAATACAGATTTTCTCTGTTGACATTTCTATTTTTTTTCTCATGTGTTCAAGTGCTGAAGGTTACAGGAAAGCTCATAAATCAGCTGCAATTATAAGATACTAATGCACAAATAAGTAGCATAGACAAGGCACAGACCTGCTTTCTTAGGCCCAGCCGTAAGTTTCATCTCCATTGACAGGTTTGCCAGTTCCTTCTCAACATCACGAATCTTGGAGTAATTTTCATCTATATATCTGGCAGGATATACCAGAGGAGAAAAATCATTATGCATAGAAAACCTAGGGTGCGTACTCTGATGTGAGAAGAACTTTAATGCTGGTGATAACATGATTACAGGCGAATATACACTACCATGATTTCCACAGTATCTCAGGTCCCTATTACATTCTGGTCTAAATCAGATACCTCTGACAATCTATACACTGGATATATGGAACTAAGATCATGGACTAAAAATATGCAGAACAGACAGAATCTGTAAAACAAGGATTTCCTGGGATGCAAGAGATTTCCTGTGCACGGAAACAATAATTTTCAAGATCTCTCCATCCCATGATGTTCTCATTTGGGAGAATGAAGGAAAAGCACTTTCATGGATTCCATTTTTTGAAATTATATGCAATTAAATTTTAATAATTCTTTTCTTTTCATCAAAATTCTCTTTGAGAAAGAAGGTTTTTGGATCATGTTTGTGCACAAGTTTATTAGCCATAAATGAGCTTTACATACTAGCCTGGTCCAATATAATTTGTCTGTGTGTTTTCCTTTTCATGTTTACCATCACATTCACCTTCAGAATCTACATTTAACAGATGTTAAAACTGTCAAATCCATTAGAGTACAGTTCAAGTTCAGAATCTTTTACTATCCAGCTGTGTGATAGATCACAGAATGTTCCACTGAATTTCTTCCACAATCATTTGTGTTCCTCGAATCCAACCGTGTTATATTAATTACTTCAGATTTGTTAACTAACAATCCTTGATAAACTTTTGACATTGACTAATATCCACACATGGTGAGGAACGAAGAGTAAGAAACAGCACTAACTCATTCTGACGAAGATAACTGAGTAACATTGAAAGGCATTAACTACTAAAATGGCACAAGGAACACGCAATGCAATACTATTGAAGTTGAACATGAGATCCATAAGAGTAGAAGTAAGCAGTCAACTCACTTTCTTAATTGAAGCTGCTCTGCCTCAATTATCTGGAAAACAACATTGCAACAATCAACAAGTGTAATACAGTAACTTATAGCATATCAAAAGCAAGCAACGGATTGTTAGAGTGTATAAATTAGAGACGGACCTTCTCGGTGTAAGCAATAACCGGTGATTCCCTAGCAATACCATCGGACCCAATCTCCGGTAGCAGTACAGGTTCTGCGGCTGTAGCATTCCGATCTGAACTGGCGTCGGTAGCCATTGAAACAACAACACTCTGATTGCTTAAAAGAGGGGATATGGGCAGTTGAAGTTGTCGAGAGGTATTCACGTAGAAGGAATCCTAATTCCGAAAAACAAGTGTTTTGGAGTACGCCCTTTCGCTGAATTTGGGGAATACTTAGTGGGGATTGCTGCTTCATATGGCAATCGTATGCACGTTGTTGGCACTGAGCAAATGTTTCTAGTTTGTATAAAACGTGATTTCTCAAATTTTATGACTCTTTTTATTTTATCTTTAATCCAACGGACCCGCACCGCCTTTGGTGATATTTGGTGGGTAACAATTTTTTGCACAAATACAATGTACTAATCTGATAAAGTTGTTAAAAGAAATTACTCACAAATGATGGAAGAGATCAACAGTATGAGACTCATATTATTCTGATTTCTGAGTAGTACATCAAACCACATAACTGCATAAGTAATATTTTTTGTTCTGCTGATTTCTAATCAAGACAGCATTGAAGTCACCTTATAATACAGACACTTTAAAGGAAACAAAAACAGAAAGGTTCTTGAAAAGGAAACATATTAAAACAAACAAAAGCTGGATAGTCGTTAAATGCATGTCCACCTTTTGTTCTTCTCTCTACACGCAGTAAATCTCAATAACCAATGTTAACAACCTTCACTATCTTGGCTTCTGATGGATCCGTAACAAGGATCAGATATGTAACGGAGACATAACAGCTTGTATTTTGACTTAGCGAAAAAGGCTTTCCAGCATTTCCTTGCATGACTGACAGAAGACGCGCTACCCTATTTTTCCCTGCATGTCTCGTTGGCTGCAACTTCTTTCCAAAGAGAGGAACCGACCAACAGATGCCAGAGACGAAAACAAAATAAATCGATCATTGTGAAAATAAATCTAGAATAATGCAGATACAGTGTGAAGAGAACAAAACTTTGTTCTGCCTTCTCATGCAGTGACCTCGGCAAGAGTTTGTCGAACTGCATCTTGTGTAGGAAGGGAAGGGATTCCACCTCTTCCTGTCACTGTCAGGGCAGCACAAACATTGGCAAAAAAGATAGCCTCCCTTAACCGCTTTTCATCCTGCCAAGAATATAAAAAAGGATTTCTAGAGTTAGGAACTAGACGTTCAATTTAATCAATGAGATGTACTAAAATGTAAGTGAAGCAATCAATCTATCTCCCGGTATTCCACGTCCTAGGACGTACTCATGTGAATGCTGACATGATGAGATCTAAATATGGAAACAATAACCAGAAAAAGTGACCGGTATAAGGAAATGTTAGTATCTTTCACCATGTTCCCATTTACACGGTGAAAGCAAAACAATCTTCAGAAAGACCAATTGAAACCTGTAAAAGCAAAAAGGATCTTTACTTGCTGGATGTACCATCAACTATGAGCGGACAAATCACCCATCAATCAAAATACTATACAGCTGTGAAAGCAGTGACTTTGCGCCCTCAGCCAGAGGGCACAGTTCAAATTGCAACAGTCGGTATGAAGCAAGCAAGCAGCTATTTGAAACTATCAAAATTCTGAGGTTCTTCCTATTTAAGAACTTGTAATTAGACTTTAGAATTAGGGGAATAAAAGAAAAAAGAGTGCACAATTGGTTGAAGATTTCACAATGGGTTTTAGAAAGAACAGAACAATTTATATTTACCTATCTTAACACTGCCAAATGGTGGACCACGGTTAACATGGGAAGAAAGTATGACAAAGAGAAAAATAATTTGATTCTGCATGAACAATGTGAAAACTACTAAGGCCTTTTTTGCTCATATCAAAATTCATGCACCTGATAAAGACTAGCATCAGAAGCTAGACACTTGAGAACTCCACCAGTAAATGCATCACCAGCACCAGTTGTATCAACAGCTTTTACCTTGATCGAATTTACTCTTCCCTTGAATTCCTGCATCAATTGAGTCAGAATCCAGTGGCAAACTAAAGTTACTAAGTCAACAAAATCTCAGTAGTTTATGCATTTAACTTCAAAAATAGTAATATTTAAGTACAAAAGTGTACTGTATACATAACATAAAATTCGATTTGGTCAAAATTCAATACCCGGGAGGCTGAGACATTTTCATCTTCAGAGTAATAAAGATGTTAGCCGTATGTAGTAAAATTATCAGCTTTAAGCATTATAAGTTCATTTTCATACGAAATTAAAGGAAGTATGTGGACAAAATAGGATAAGAATACCTTGGTGTAATATCTGCAACCAGCTGAACCTTCAGTTACAAGCAAAAGCTTCAGATTAGGATGGAAAAGCCTCTTCAACACCACCTCGTCATCATTTGGATCGTCGGCTCCAGTCAAGAATGAAATTTCATCCTCACTTATCTGCATGCAGAAATACAGATTTTATTGTCAAAGTGAACTTAGCAGGTGAAGCACTTACGAGTTGTGAAAAAGTAATACCTTAATAATATCTGCTAGGTTCCATACACTCATTATTCCACTTCGAGCAGCATCTTCTGAAGGCCATAAAGGCAATCTCAGGTTTGGATCATACGACAGTATGCTACCTGATCTTTTGGCAATGTCCATTGCAGCAAGGTGTGTTGACCTACAAGGTTCGTCGATCAAACTAATTGAACCATAATGGAAGATGGTGGCCTGGACATGATTAATATGCCTTTAGTAAGATTTTGCATTGAAGCTAAATGAAAAACACGTATATGCATTGAAGTAATAAGGAGGAAGCTACACCTTTTTAATAAGATCTACATCGAGTTCTGACTCCCGAAGAAGCATATCAGCACTAGGATTACGGAAAAACACGAACTCCCGCTCACCTTCAGCTGTGAGTGTAATGAAGGCCAGTGCAGTCCTTGCATCATGATCAAACCGCATGCCGGAATTGTCAACATTGTTTTGCTTCAAAATGTCAGCCAACATACGGCCGAACTCATCGTCACCAACCTAATTAAAGATGCACAGATCTTAAAGCTATCCATAGGCCACATTTAAAGTCATTGCCAATTAAGGCTTAGCAAAGGTTTCAAATAAGAATTATGCAATCAGTACAGAAGCAAGGAAAAAAAGGTTCAGTCCACAAGATGAATAAGCCAAAAAAGTAGTATATAACATGACTAAGATGATCCAGTTATTGATTAATGAATAACATAGACAGAGTCTCAACACATATAGATAGTAATGCAAGCACTATCCCAACTTCTTCTCGTGAGAGCTAGTTGGATAGCAAAATGTACGTAAAGCATGATGATACCAACATACTACCGAATCAGCTTCCTGTATCTATATGACTAAGCAGACTGTATGCTAGCCTAACCAATAGTATGAAAGATCATTTATACATGTATGCACTCACAGAAGGCAGCAGTAGGATTTAATCATTTTCTAAGAAAGAATGGTAAGAATTCTTAACATTCTCAAAAATAGAAAATAGCGATTTGAATTTTTTTCTGTTATGAATATTTTGTTCTTGACATAACACGAAAGAAAAAAGAAGTTAGCATAGCGATTTGCATAAAATACTGATAAGGAAATCTGTTTTCAGTTTTCTATTTCAGAGTGAGCAAAATCTAATTTTTTAGGCACGATCCCTGAAAATTCAACAATTGAAAGACAATTACTGATTCAAACTATAATTAAGTATCCTTATGACACAAGTACATGAAGAGGAAACAATGCTCTCATGCTATACATTACACAGTACAATTGCATTGCATGGTTCTTGTACATATTACTCACCAATAAATCAAAGAATTCTTGATCTGTGTATACTAAACAAAAAAGCACACAGACAACTTCAACAATTCAAAGTAGGTACGCCTCTATTATGAGAAATTTGTATTCCAAAATCACTCATGCATTGCGTGGTTCTTGTACATATTTACTCACCTATTAATTAAAGAATTCTTGCTCTGTGTATACTAAACAAAAAAGCACACGGACAACTTCAACAATTCAAAGTAGGTACGCCTCTATTATGAGAAATTTGTATTCCAATATCACTCATGTGCTTATAGAACATTCAGAAAGCTAGAGCAAGCATATCACCCACCCTCCCCAACAAAAAAAAGAAAAGGAGCATCTTCGTCCAAACAAGATCCAATTACTGCATCTGATGAGTAGAACAGTATGAAAAAATTATACCTTTCCAATAAAAGCAGATGAACCCCCTAACTTTGAGATGCACACAGCAACATTAGCAGGTGCACCACCGGGAGCTTTTTCAAAGGCAGGAGCTTCCGCAAGTGAAACTCCAGCAACAGTTGGGATGAAGTCAATGAGCATCTCCCCAAAGCAAACAACTAAATGAGACTTCTTTGACACCGCACCATTTCTATTCAAGGAAAGGTCTTTTAAATTGCCTGCAAACATCCAAATTCTTCTGTCAATAGAGCACACAATCAAATGATCAAGCTCTCTTGAAACAAATCAAATGAGGAAAGCTTCTAAATTGAAAGCATCAAAAGTTTTATTTTTAAATAAAATACAGCCCCACCAGCTAACAAATATAATCACTAATTTCATTCAAGAAAAGGAAGGCAGGTAGCAGCTTTCACTTTAGGCGTGCATTAACCAAACTGTAGCTAATAAATCCTTGTTTTCATAAACTATAACAAGTAGTTCAGAATTAGATCAATGCATTTTTCTTTCTTTTTAGCAGAAAGTGTCCAATCTTGTGAATATCTGAAGTCATTGCAAAGATACACCATAAAAAAGTTAAAACAGAACACTTAAAGAGAAAAAAAAAATATGACCCATTTTGCCAATATTCATTGTCAACTACATGAAGTATGATGTACCTAACTACCATCCTGATTGAACAACAAAGATGGAATATCTAAACAAGATTCAAGATAGTGACAAATAAGCCTACTAAAAACCCAAACTTCTGAAAGAACAAAGAAAAAAGTCAAATCATGCATTCGTCATCGAGATAGAAGATGCATAACCTGAAATGGATTCGCCAGCCATATTGTGAGCAGTGTTAAAAATGGGGTCTTTGGAAATATCAACAAGAACTCAGAGAGAGGCGTTAATAGAGAAAGAAAGGGGAACCTTGAAAGAGAGCCGATGGGGTTTTGAAGTTGACAAGAAAGAAAGAAAGAAGGAAAAATCAACAAATTGCTAAATCCTCCTCTTTTTTGCCACCCTGTTTACTACTTTTGGTGTACCTTGCTGACACCGACACGGCATGAAATGTACCGGAATTTTCTTATGCAGAATGAGGATCAATATTCTCAAATTTCTGCAAATC